AATAACACCAGAGAGCACGCCGAGGCAAGGTCAGAGTAGAAATTAGAAGTTTATTAAAGGACAGCAGAAAAGACTTCTCCCGGAGGAAGAAGGGGACCCAAGAGGTGGAATCCGTGGAAGGGATGTTGTCTCCCCTTTTTATAGTTCTTTCAGTGATGGAATGTAGGTGGGAAGGACCGAGGGGTGGGACACAGGTGGGCCAAAGAAGTAATCTGGTCAGGAAGGACTTCTGAGTCAGCACCTTTTTGCTGGGGGCTGTTCATTAACATTTCTTTGAGGTGGACTTTGGCCTAGGGCCTTTTCAGGACTTCATTAACATTCCATGAGTTGTCCTGTGTTTTCCCTGAGTCATTCTCCGCACGGCCTCCATTTTAGATTTCACTGATATTAGACCCATATTAGACCCGATTTACCTAACTACACTGACTACCTAACTTTAAATCTGGCTTCAATCTCATGGGAACTGAACTGCCCCAGGATCATAGGTCTTCTGGATAAACATCCTGAGCAGCAAAGGGAGATTGACCCTCCAGTGATAAGGACCTCTCCAGAGCCACCATGAAGAACCAAGATGAGATGTGTTAGTCAGCTCTGTGTTAATAGATGACCAAAATACCTGACAAGAACTACCAAGAGGTGGAAAAGTTTATTTTGGCTCATGGTTTCAGAGATGTAGTCCATAGTCAACTGACTCCATTACTCTGGCCCAAGGTGAGGCAAAACATCATGGTGGAAGGGTGTGGTAGAGAAGTGCTGCTCAGTTCATGGCAGCTAGGAAGCAGAGAGAGAAAGGAAAGGGGCCACAGGAAAGATGAACCAATCCTTCCAGGTCACATCCCTAGCGACCCACTTCCTCCAGCTGCATATCACTTGTCATTCAAACTCAGTCCATTCGAACTAGGATAGAGTGATTAAATTACAGTCATCGCAATCCAACCACTTCACCTCCAAAGAATCCTGCATTAACACAGAAGCTTTTGAGACACACTTCATATTCAAACCATAACAACATGTAATGCTGAAATAATGATACTCCCATTTGCTCAGGCCTCACCAGTCTTTGGACTTTATACAAATACCTCTGCCTACGAGATCCAGATCCCAAAGTCTCCTTAAGCCCCTTCCTGGTGTGTCTCCTGTGGCTCTTCTGCTCTCCCACAGTTGCTCCTCACTGAAGACCCTTCCTGAGAAGTTTTTTGAGGGTGGAGCCTCATCTTGCTATTCATATTGGTATCTCCTATTCCCCTATCCTGGGCCTAAACCCTCTGGTCAAGTTGGCTGGGTGCTAAGCAGAAACAGGGCACTGGGCCATAAAGTCAATGCTGTGAACGTGGAGACAAGTAACTGCTAGGTTCTCCAGTAGTCATGTTTTGTTACATACAACAGACATTTGTTAAGTAACTATTACGTTTTGGAAAGGATACTAGAAGACATATATAGAATATATATAAACATAAAGGATATAAAGGACATATAAAAGATATAAAAATGAAGACATAAGCAACAAGTAGGTCAAGACAGGTTCCCTGTAACAGCGTAGGAACTCCCAATGCCTACTCAGACTAATCCCCCACAAAACTAGCCTTTTTTAGAAACTGGGAGAGTAAGAAAAGAGAAATTCTTATTCTTTTTTTTTTTTAAATAGATTTTGATGGGCCTTAATTTTTTTTATTTATTTATATGTGGTGCTGAGAATTGAACCCAGTGCCTCATGCATGCTAGGCAAGCACTCTACCACTGAGCCACAACCGCAGCCCAGAAATCTTATTCCTGTTGCTAATGGTTATGAGCAGCTTAGGAAAACATCCAGGCAATAATTTAAAGCATCTATTTGTTACCAGAATTAAGGTCTGGGCTACCTTCCACTCAAAAGCCAATATCTAGGAGATGAGAGTTGGGAGGAAAGAAGCAGGTTTGTTTGAGGATTGGCAAGCCTGAGAAAATGGATGGGCTATATCCCTAAAGTTCCATCTTAAGGATGTCAGGCACCAAAAGGGCCTTTTTTTTTTTTTTTTTTTTTTTAAACTGGAGATTGAATCCAGGGTCCTCTAAGCACTCTTATTCTGGAGCTAGAGCAGGGCAGGAAGGCTACATGCTGAGCAGGCTCTTTGTCATCCAAGGTGTATGTCTCCTGTTTTTCTTTTACTCAGCAAAGGCAATGGACCTCAGCCTCCTGTGGTTAGTTTTTACTTTCAGTTAGGAAGCAGATTACTTTTCTCCAAGTTAAACTCCACAGCAATTTACATGCGTTGCGTTAATCTAGACCAAAATGTCAGTTGCTTCTGGGCAATTCATTTCCCAGAGGAAAGCACTGTCAATTTAGAAAACCTTCTCTTCCAACCAATAGGACAAGTCCTAGGAAAAATGGTACATTTCCACATACCACTGCAGGCTCATGTAGCTTCCCTCCTCTCTCACATTTGCCCCTTGATAAAAGGCCCTGTCCATGAAGTCTCTGAGGTCAAGAGCCATTGCCATGTTCCCTAGAAGAACAGTAGACACCCTGCATGACTAGCTTTCAGCCCTGCTTCTCCTTTTCCTCCCTATAAAATCTCCTCCAGAGGGCGCTTTGAGGAGGTAATCCATCTATCTTCTCAGGATTGCTTGCCCTTGAATAAACTTGATCCTTTCCTACCAATTCTCATCTCCCAAATATTGGCTTTATGTGGCAGGCAACCTGGACCTTAATTTTGGTAACAAGTAGATGCTATCAATTATTGCCTGGACATTTCCCCAAGATTTATTTACATATTCATGTAAACTGCTGTTACTTCAGTGGCCCAAGCAACAAAGTGGAGAGGATTAAATGAGATTTATAGAAAAATAAAAATTATCTACATAAATTTTATGAGAACTGAAACTGAACTGAAATTGTATTTTTCTATAGCCTTAAATTTAGTAAAAGTAAAGTTCCAAGACTGCATGTGCAATTCATTCTTCCTGAAGAGTCAGAGACAGCAAAATAAAAAGGATGTTTCAGTTGGGTTTTACTAAATATGCAGGATTTTGCAAATTGATTTTCCCATAGAACTCACTCCTATGTCAAATAATTATCAAAGTATTTTCATGAATAAAGACAGTTACTTTCCTAAGAGAAATTTTTATTCTTTAAACAGTTGTTAAAAATACTACAAATTCTTTTATCATATCATGCATGAGTCATCTATAATATCAACAACATGTAAAATATTTTGTAATGGAAATTATCTATAAAATAATTATGCTTGATAAATGTAAGGTAGTATTCCCTAAATCATTTCAGCAAGTCAACACTCAAGGTAAAATAAATAACCACAGGACACTTTGCTAAACTTGTTTTAAAAAAAAAAGGTTTATTTGTTACAAAATGTTAAATACTAAAGCTAAAAACATATAAATTCAGGTCAGGCTATATTAAAATACACACATACCCTTCTTTGCAAAATTGTTAAAGATTGAATTAAACAGATGCTTTAAATAAAATAAAGTACTCTTTGAGGTTATTTTTGTCTAATTAACTATATCAGTGTAGTGTAGAGTTTGTAAAATTATAGTTGAAAAGTTTTGCTGTCTTGGAATCAAATTTATTCAATCTTTAGTCTTCTGCTACTACCCAATGTGAAGCTATCATGCTGGCTTGAACAGGGTGAGTCTGTTATGATACTGAAAATTCTCTATCACAAATCTAGTCTCTTATACCATGAACATGGAATAGTCAGAAAGTATATAAAGGATTAAATAGGATGAAAACCTGGCTCTGAAACAAAAGGCCTTAGTTCTACTATATAGTATCTTCTCTAAATAAAATGGTAGGTAAATATACCAAAGCAGAGATCAGCACAAAGCATACATCCATCTAGAAATAACTTTTGGTTTGGGGGAAAAAATCCTCAAAAACAACACTCACTTCTCCAAGATAACTGATAAGTAAAATTTCTTATTATTTTAAATTGAGTAAATTCAAAGTCTTGAGTCTATGTGTTCAATGCACTTAAAAACTAATTTGATTCTACTCTGACTAGCTCTGCAAAATTGTGACATCTGACTGGGTCACACAGGAGGAAGAATTTTCATAATAAAAACACACTCAATACCAGGGAGTACCAGTTTTCAAATTCAACCCCCACTCAGGTCAAACAGCCTAAACGAAACAGCTACATTCTATTGAAATCTTAAAAAAAAAAAAAAAAAGTGTTTTTGAGAAAAGACTTTGCTTTGTTTTGTATTTATATTTTTCAATTTCCTAAAGATTTTAGAATTTTAAGTGCTGTAATTAATATGGGGATGAAACTATGCTTATGAAGAACAAAAGGTTATCACTGCATTTTAAAAGTTCATAAATGTGAATGAATTTCTAGAAATCTGCTATAGGTCTACTCTTTTACAATGTTAATCCTAGCCTCATAGGATCTGCCAATCTTTGATTAACCCAAGGGATTAAACAAAAAGCATAAAATTCCAGCAGTCTTCACTTACACAGTCCAATTAAAATCAGGTTTCTTGAAATATATCTAGAGGAAATTTTTAGTGCTTTCCTCTTTCAGTGATGGCATACATACAAGGGTTAACTGTAAGGAATCCTAATATTATAAGATTGTTTAATCAGATCTTTAAGAAGTTGGGAAAAATATACGTATTCTAAAGTCACTGGATGTTAACAGAAAGATATAGTCCAGTACTAAATTACAGATGACAATAATGTTCACAATAAATAGTAATCGGATTGTCCATCTCCAGGCTTATAGACTTCTGATGTTATCATTTCTATACACGTGTAATATGAGAGAGGTTCTAATCTGTCCTCCATGGAAGTACCCTTCTCTCCACACATGACAAAGCTTTGATACATATCCTTTCTTCTAACTTACTGGGTAACCTTAAGGGATAAGATTCATGCTACTCCATATCAAATAGCTTTGCAGTCCTTGGAAAGAATTCAAACAGTTCAAGCCACTGACATCCACGTCCTACTCTTAGCAAAAACACTTACCAAAAAAAAAAAAAAAAAAAAATTCTTGAGCCTTCATAGCAAATTCTCTAGAAAGTACCTTTTCCTGTGAGCATATCGTAGAATGTATATTAAAGTCAGGCAAGTAGGTCACTCTCATCAACATCCTGATGTTACAGAATCATCAAAGTAACTCTTCTTCTGTGATATAGCCTAAATGTGAGTGTTTTAAAACAAAGACAAAACAACACTCATTTGCCAGCGGAAGTGGCAACAGAGGCCCTGGGTGGTAAGGACCTCCCCAAAGGTGAGAATCCATATATGTTCTCTTCCCTTGATATCAGAGTCTCTTTTCTTTCAGAGAGAATGATGTTTGAATCAGAAAACTTCGTATTTTTTTTTTCTGTCAGGAAAGATCCATAATTTAGGGGACACTGTGTCAGGTGAAAACACAGGGCCCTTCTTCAATCATTATTAAGAATTTTGTGACTGCAACAGCACAACACTGAAAAAATGCCATGCCCTTCTAAGTGGGAAACCCTTGTGACTGAAGGTCACACACAGACAAAGCTGACCCTGGTTCAGTTTCCTGCATAATCAAAATCCCAGGGAGGACACTAGGTGATTCAGGTGGATTGTCCAGATGAAAGAATTTTTTTCATGATGTTGATTCAAACACTGTCACTGCTTTGGAACCAAGTGGCCCATCACTTTCCAAATATCTCAACTTGGACTGTTTCGTCTTCCGCCTATATTTCTCATGGAGAAAGAGCTACACTGGGTCTTTGAAAACCCTGTATTTTAATAATTAATCAGACATGATGAAATTTCTATATTAATCCTAAATGATTTTTTAAAATTTAAACATTTCTTATCGGGGAGGGGTCTTAATATCACTAAAGCAACAGGACATCTTAAAGGGGAAACACAGCTGTACAACAGCTTTATGTTTTAGGGTGAAGCCTGTTTTAGTCGGTAGTATAGTTTGCTCCCTTTTAAAATCACAATATTTTTTTTTTCATGGAGAACTAATAAACACATTAAACTGTATGATAATCTTTGTTGTAACGCCCACATTGGTTTCAGTCATACGAGTTTCACTGCAACCCATTCTCCATAATAATAAAAAAGTGTACTTATATAAAAGCTCCAGGTTACATTACTAAGCAACGGCATTTCCGGGAGTGAATATACTTCCTGTATTCTGCAAGCTGCTTCAAGTACATATTTGATGGCCATCTGTGCTTTTCAACAAAACTGCGTTCTTCCACTAAAATTGTAAGAAAGAGAATGTGAATGAATACATTTTATTCTTGATCAAAGTATTAACCACTGACTTCCTATGTAACAGATAAGATCCGAGCTTTCCCTCAAGCCTTCCAAATCATTTAACACCATCCCAGTTAAATCAGTCATCAGAATTTAAGTTATTATGTGATTTTACAATTATATACATCTCATCCACTGCTTCATCAAGTAGTTTTTGACTATTTTACTTCTTCTTTTTTTTTTTTTTTTTCAATAAAACTTTTGTTTTTCCTGGAGATAACTGGCTCTTTTTTTCCACCTAGTTCTCTTTGTAGCTAACTTGGCCATCCAAACTCTGTGAAGTGCTCCTGGTTGTTTCCCACCAGGACGCAGTCATCCAGCAGTTTCCCCACTCCAGTTGTGGCTGGCGCCCAGGGCCCTTCTCATGGAGCCCTCGCCCTCTTGCTTTCCAGGCCTATCCATGCCTTTGTGCTGGATCTCACCATTTCTCAACTCTTGGGCCTTTACTTTGTTTATCCCCTTTGTTTTGGTGAAGTACAACCTGTTATTAGTGTTCTGAAAAGTTTTTCTGAGGTCATGCTTGTGATGAAATGTCTTTAGTCTATGCTCACACATGATAGATTATGTGGTTTGGTATAGAATTCTGGGTTGAAAACTCCCCTTATGAGGTTAAAGATGTTTTCCACTGCTTTCTACCTTCTAGAACTCCACTGCCACTCAGACTCACAATCCTTTGAGGGTGGATCTGTGTTTTTTCAATCTTGGAAACTTAGTTTTCTCTTTATACTCTGTTCTTGCACGTACTAATGATGTACTTTGTATGTTCATTTAGCTGAGCCCTTAGTAAACTCTTTTCACTAGTTGATTCAAGTCTTTCAGTATTAGGATAATTTCTTGATTTATTTCTTTGGTAATTTCCTCCCCATTGGATTGTTTTTCCCCCTGTATGAACTTCTAATAAACACTGAACTTCTAGATTGAGACTCCAATTAAAAATTGGAGTCTCAATCTAGAAAAAGACTCCAATTAAAAAAACTGAAACTTTCTCTCCTATCTGTCCCTGCATTTTTTTGTCCTACTTTCCAAGAGATTTCTTTACTTTTGCCTTAATTATTTTATTTAGTTGATTTTTCATTTTTGTATATTTTATATTTTTTCTATCATATTTTTAATTTTCAAGACCAACATTTTTATTGTTTTTTAAAATTGTGGTAAATACACATACCATAAAATGTACCATTCTAATTTTAAATATATAGTTCAATAGTGTTAAGTACATTCACACTGTTACACAAGAAAGAAAGAATCTCCAGATTCTTTTCAACTTGCAAAACTAAAACTCTACCCATTAAACAAATCCCTATATCCCCCTTTACCCAGGCCCTGGAAACCATCATTTTATACTTTCTAACTCTGTGAATATTATTTCTTTTCCTTCCTTCCTTCTTCCCTCTTCACCACCACCACCTCTTTTGCACCAGAGATTGAACCCACGGGAGGTTTACCCTGAGCCACATCCCTAGTCTTTTTTTTTATTTTGTTTTGAAATAGGTTCTTGCTAAGTTGTTGAGGCTGGCCTCAAACTTGCAATGTTCCTTCCTCAGCCTCCCTAGTCACTGGGATTATAGAAGTATGCCTTGCACCCAGCTGAATATTTATTATAGTTCTAGTCCTACTTTATGAATGCATATCTCTTATTCTTTGAAATTGCAACACCTAAAATCTGTGGGTACCCCTAAAATCTGCAGTTACCCCTAAAATCTGTGGGTACTCCTGTATCTATGCTCCTTCAAGCACATTCTCTTTTATTTTTGTTTATTTAGTTTCATTTTTGGTATACATTTTTTATATCAGTGATTGCTCCAAATATCTTTATATTTCCTTTCTTTTTTTTTCAATAATTTTTTCCATCTTTATTTTCATTCATTCATTCATTTAGTTTTATGTGGTGCTGAGAATCTAACCCAGTGCCTCACACATGCTAGGCAAGTGCCCTACCACTGAGACACAACCCCAGCCCCCTCCAAATAACTTTTGATCCTCAGTGATATTTTCATATTCAATAGTGAGCTACTAGAAAGCTGTCTAGAAACCTCTGGGGCATGGGTAAGACTTGGTGACTGGAAGAATACACACCACATGATAGAATGAATTCTCCCAAATGATTGCATTTGTGCATTTTCCCACTGCACAGGGTGTGGAGGGCAGGGTAGCAAATACCTAAGTGCCAGAATTCTAGAACCTGGATATGGGAAGGAGAGTGGAACCTCATTAAACAATCTATACACTTTCACATAACTCCCTGCTTCAGTATAGCTCCTCATTCTTTATCCCATCAATACCCAGAGTTCATGATTCTATAGTATGTTTTGTTTTAATGCCTCCATAAGTAAACTTCCTATTTCCTATGAAGAAAAGAAGCAGTTGCCCAAGTAGGAAGTGGGGGTGTGGCAAAAGATTCAACTCATCCCACTGCCTTGTCCTGGTTTCTCAAACACCTGCTACCTCAAACATGTAAGGCTAGCTTCTGGGATTCTTCTGGGTGAATCAGCTTGTTTCCCCTTCTCCATCTGTTCCATAACCTCAACTACTGGAATCTGGATTAACAAGGTCCTGGTTTAGGCTGCAGGACCTGAATAAGCAGAAACAAGCTGGACGCTCAGGGAAACTATAGTTCTCTAGGTTCCAGGAGACAAGATATGACAGGCTCAGCTAAGACAAAACACCAGAGAACAATTACCACCCGTGAATTCAGGCAGACAGGAAAAACAAACAAACAAACAAAAAACCCACAATATTAAGCAAAAACTGATAAAAATGAATCTATAGCCACCAAGGGTCATATATTCCTATGAGTTGCTGTTCGTAATATTTAATGAGCTATTTAACCAGGGTTCTCAGGTATCCATGCCTTGATAAGATTTTTTTCTAGTCTCACCTACTCATTTCTAATCGCCTCTAAATAAGAAAAATTCTTAGTTAAGAGAAAACAATTTGTAGAATTTCAACAATGGGATAATTCCTAAAACTGAAAATGGGCAATTCTATAAGGAAACTAGAGAAATTGTGATGAGAACCCTTTTGAACTTCAAATGTCCATGTGAAACAAGCTGGGTATGGGGGAGAGAGGAGAGCTGCCTGCAACACTTGGAAGGACACGCTCCTCTCAGTGGCAGCCACTGCCCTGCTCAGGCTTTTGCCCATGGAATGATGGGCGCAGAGTACTCACATCTTCTAATTTTCAAAGTAGCCAGAAACATGGAGTTTTAAAATGCCAACATAACATTAAAATGAAAATTTTTAAACGTGGTCCACATAAAGCCCTTGACAGACTACAATGAACCTATGGAGGGCCAGTGTGTAACTATTGATTTAGAGAATCAAATTCCCCCCCTTCCCCCCTCCCCCCAACCAGAAGGGCTTTATGCCTCTGCTAAAGAGGACCACACACCATGGCAGGCTGCTGAACCCAAACAGGCACCTTGGAACAAGAAAGCTCAGGATACCCCCACAATTCCCACCCACAAAACAGAGACAGCCATTGCAGAGCCTTTAGCCCCTTGCCCTGCCCACTCAGATTACACCCTGCAGCCCTGCTTTTCACTATTCCAGTTAGTGATTATCTACTTTATAGGCAATTATATAAGTAATAAAATATAATAAAATTAATGACATGAAGGATTTATAGAGCACCTTTCTCCCAAGGCTGTAATAGTATGCCATGATAGCATATAGCTATATAAAACAGTAAGTAGAACATAATATTATTCTTCTTTTATAATGAAGGTGACTTAAGGTGGCATAGTAACTCCCTGAGTACTGACTGCCTAAAGAATGACTATGCAAGTATGTCCCTACCAACTTACAGGAAGTAGAAGCCTGCTTTACTAAACTTTGTGAATGAACTTTGTTTTTCTTACACAATGTAGACACAAAATAATACTATTGATTTGCTTTGATTTTATTGTTACTCTACTGTCTTTGTAGTTGAGCTCCATGTAAATGGGGACGCTTCCAATAAGCGCGTCATGTTTTTTGATTGGCTGCACACCTCTGTCAAAAAATGACTGGGTGGGCTGGGGATATAGCTCAGTTGGTAGAGTACTTGCCTTGCATGCACATGGCCCTGGGTTCAATTCCCAGTACCACAGAAAAACAAAAACAAAACAACAAAAAACTGGGTGCTCCTTGGTTTCCATAAATGCTTGAGTACCTGAAGGAAACCCAGAGATTTTCATGTCTTTTACCAGCAGAATCTTTTTTTCACTAATTAAACCTTTAAGCAGAACTCCAAGGCGTAAAACAGAAGTGGAATCAACTAGAAGGAGGAAGAGTCGAGTCCAAGAACCACAGATTTTAGCCTTCCCTTCCCCTTTCCCTTATTCTTTCCCGGTTCTTTTCCTCATTCACTCCCTGCTTTCTGCAACTTGCCCCCAGAATACCTTCAGGCATCTCCATGGAGACCTCTTTGGCCAGAGCTTGAAAGTACTTGACCAGGTGTCCAGTCATTTCCTTGTCTTTTTAGTTCAATCTTTCCTCGACTCTATGCTGTGATAATGTGAGCAAACCATTGTATCTAGCTGTCTAATTAGTCTGTCTCTTCTGACAACAATTCTATTTTCTTTTTCTTTCCTCTTACACAGTACTAGGAATCTCACCCTTAACTGGTTTTACTCTTTGTAATTTAACTTAGAAATCACATTATGTATGCTTTCTGATCCTTAAGTTTCATAACACTTTCAATCAACAACAAAAACGTTACTTCAAAGTAATATGAGGGTCCTGCATATATATACATGATGAATACAAATATCTAATACATAAAACTGTTTATTATAAATATTAAGCAATAAATTCCTTTATAAGAAATAATTTTGCTTCTGACTTACATAGATAGTTAAAACTAAGATCTCAGGTATCACAGCCAAATGCCACCTGAGGACACATTTCACCACCTTCTCTATTTCAGGGGGGAAAAAAGTTTTTAAAAATGAATGGGAGTTATGAAATAATCATTAAAAAACTTCTTGTGTAACACAGGTCAAGCTGCTTATATAACACAGGTGACTATGAAATAAGGAGCCCTTAATTACCACCCTGCACAATTTTAAAGGAATGTAGTACATTGACTCTTCTTATTGTGATAAAACTGCTACTTTTACAAATTATGTCTCAAATCTAAGAAAAAAGAACAAAGTTTTCTTTGCAAAGCATAAGTTGGAGATCTACCTGAAAGATCCTGAAATTCAGGCTTTTGACTGAAGATGAGGTAGTTAGTCGCAATGAAATGAAGCAGCCAGGTTGAAAGGCAATCAGAGTGGTGGAACTAGAAGAAAAATGAAAAAGAAACAACAATGTACATCACGCCCTTCGATCAGGATGACGACCAGATAGAGAGAGTGACTTGGGAGGAACCATGGAAGAGTCCATATTCACATGTAAGTACCCATGCATGATGCAGCCTTGAGGCTGCTGTGACTGCAGAAAGGGAAGTGGACCATCATTAACAAATAACAGTGAAGTCAATAGCTAAACTGTGGAGCCAACCTAGATGCTCTTTAGTAGATGAATGGATTAAAAAATGTTGCATATATACACAATGGAATTTTACTCGGCAATAAAACAATAAAATCATGGTACTTGCAGGTAAATGGATGGCATTAGAGAAGATAAAGTGAAGTTAGCCAATCCCCAAAAAACAAATGCCAAATGTTTTCTCTGATATAAGGAGGCTGATTCATAGTGGGGTAGGGAGGAGGAGCATGGGAGGAACAGAGGAACTCTAGATAGAGCAGAGAGGTGGGAGGGAAAGGGAGGGAGCAGGGAGTTAGCAAGGATGGTGAAATGTGATAGACATTATTATCCAAAGTACATGTCTGAAGACACGAATTAGTGTCAACATACTTTATATACAATCAGAGACAATGAAAAAATGTGCTGTATATGTGTAATAAGAATTGTAATGCATTCTGCTGTCATTTACTTATTTTTTTTTCAAATCAATAAAGAAAGAAAAAAATAACAGTGAAGTGACATCATTCAATGAAGAAGCTGAATCAATAGTGAACAACAAGCTACTGCTGCCGTAGCGGCCAAATGTCTTTAAGCAGAGGTATGGCTGTGCTTGTGGTTAACCAAGAGTATTAGAGGTTCTTGAGGTTTTTTCTTTTTTGGTACTGGGGATTGAACCCAGGGCCTCACTCATGGTAGGTGGTAAACACTCTACCACTGAGTTACATCCCCAGCCCCTTTACTTTTTTTCAATTTGAGACAATCTCACTAACTTGCCCAAGCTGGCCTTGAACCTATGATCCTGCCTCAGCTTCCCAAGTACAGGCTGGGATTACAGACATGTAGCAACAGGTACAACTTAATTTAAACTTTTAACTAAGGTCACGGAGTTCACTAAATACATTTGTGTCTGTGGAGCAGAAGATTATGGTGAGCAACATCCAAACAAGTTCATTTGAAGAACAAACCAAAAACTACTTTGAGGAGGAAACATCAGCCTAAGGGCATGGGTTTCCATGTGTAAATGTTCTTATGAGAAAGTTATACCTACCTGAATAGTTGCTTTGATGGGTGTACTGCTACACTGAGAAGGGTTTTCTACACAATTCCCATTTCAACAGTGCAAGTAGACGGAACGTCTGAGCAACGTGGCTATTGACATCATCATCTCAATGCAAACCAGTAATATTCACTGATCCATCCAATCACCAATTTGGATTATAGTAACTTGTTGATAGGCAACTTTATTATTATCATTATGATTTTGGTAAACTATGCATTAGACTTACCATTTTAACCATCTTTAAGTGAATTGTTCAGTGGCGTTTTAGACTTACCATTTTAACCATCTTTAAGTGAATTGTTCAATGGCGTTGAGTACCTTTACATGGCTATGCAACAAGTACCACTATCCATTTCCAGAACTGTTTATTACCCCAAACTGAAACCCTGTACCCACTAAATAATAATTTCTCTTAACCCCATATGCCCAGGCCCTGGTAACCACTATTCTACTTTCTAAATTCTAAATTTGACTATTCTAGATACCTCACATAAGTAGAATCATAGAATATTTGTTCTTTAGAGTCTGGCTTATTTCACTTGCATAATGTCTTCCAAGGTTCATCCATGTTGTAGTATATATCAAAATTTAATTTATTTTTAAGGCTGAATATTCCACTGTATTTTTTATATATATATATGTATATATATATGTATATATATATATATATATATATAATTATTATATAACACATATATAATACACACACACACACACACACACACATAACATTTTGTTTATCCATTTATCCTCAGATGGACATTTAGGTTGTTTCCACCTGTAGGTTAATTATAGCTCTTCTAACAATACTCAAAAATGTTAAATAAGCAATAGGTGATGCTAAATTAAAGAGAGTTATAATATATCAATTTTTTTTTTTTTTTGTACCAGGAATTGAATTCAGGGGCACTCAACCACTGAACCACATCTCCAACACTTTTTTGTATTTTATTTAGAGACAGGGTCTCACTGAGTTGCTTAGCGCCTTGCTGTTGCTGAGGCTGGTTTTGAACTTGCAATCCTCCTGCCTCAGCCTCCCTAGCCACTGGGATTACAGGAATGAGCCACCATAATATCAAATCTTAAGAAGGAAACTCACGGATGAGAACTTTTAAACCTTGCCAGATATGGTGGCACATACCTACAATCCAACCTATTTGGGAGGCTAAGGCAGGATGACTCCAGCTTCTAGGCCAGCCTAGGCAATTTAGACCCTGTCTCAGAATAAAAAAAATTAAAAAAGGGGGGTGGGTAGCTGGCAGTTTAGATAGATAGATAGATAGATAGATAGATAGTGTGTGTTTTGATATATAAATTCACAAGTACCTCTTATTTTCAGTATATATAATTAGGATTTTCAATTGGAAGGAAGTTTACAGCTCATCTAATCAATCCAATTCACATTTTAACAATTTTCTCCCCTATCTTTCAGCAGATGAATGTGACTAATATCAGGGGAATAGAATAAGAACCTGTAAACTACTTTAACAGAAGCCACCATTACTGTTAGATGATTAACCCAGAGCAGATAACTTATCACCAGAAGGTCAGGACATTGCCTAAGGGCTGTGACTTTGAAAGAGAAGGGAGATCACAGATATGAACAGCTAACTACAAAGACATGACTTAAAATGCAAAATTTTATTTCTTGACCAAGATGTAAGATACCATCACCATGACAGCCTGACATGAGATGAAATACACATCATTGTAAAAATTAAGTTTTTGAAAAAAGTATTTGCTAACCTAAGATAATAGGTTCAAGTTGAAATAAGTAAAAGGAAAAAAGAGAAAAGCATTAAAAAATCTATAAATCAAATGCAAGAGTTTAAGAGCTATATGAAGAATATGGAGAAGGTTCCCAGGAACTCACAAAAAAAGGTCAGAAAGAAAGCTTGTAGACAACAGGTGGCCAAATACTAACATACATTATAAGAAAAATAATTTAAATTTTAATATGAGATTAAATACAACTTCATAGGAATCAAAGTACAGACAAATGGGCTTAAGTGAGTGTTAGAGAAAAAGAATCTTCACATCAGTCTGGAAAAAGTGATATGACTGATGGAAATAAGCATCTCTTTGTGTTAAGATTTGGCATATATAATGCAAAGTCTTGATGGACATATAGGAACCTGAAGACAGAATCATGGCAGAGAGGTTTGGGGAGAGTGGAATCAGAAATGAGAGAATACCAAAACTGCTCATCTATAAAAGACATGAAAGATGCTTTGTGGTCCAAACTGGCAGGGATGAAAGCAAACTGACTGAAGTTTTGATTATTCAGAAAGCTACTTGGGAATCTAATTCTGCTAAAAGAAGCCAGAGAAATGGTGAGAGAAAAGTTTACCAAATTCAGACCATCAGAATGAGGTGGCTAGTAAAATGGAACATGAAACTAGGAACTTCAAGTGGAAACTTGTGTATTAATCAACTTTCTATACTATCACAAATACACACCTGGGATAATCAACTCATAAAGAGAAAAAGGTTATTTTGGTTCACAGTTTTAGGGGTTTCAATTCATGATTGGTTGGCCCTATGGCTCTGGGGGCTGTGGCAGCACATCATGGCAGGAGGACCTGGCACAGTAAGACCACTTACCTCATGACCAGGAAGTGAAAGAGAGTAAGAGGAAGGGAATGGGAATCCCATAATTCCCTCTGAGGACAATGCCCTCAACGACCTGAAGATCTTCTACTAGGCCCCACCTCTTAAATTTTTCACCCTCTCCAATAGTACCAAGCTGGGGACCAATCTTTTAACACCTGGGCCTTTGAGGGACACTCAAGATCCAAAGTATAGCACTTGGGAAGAAATTTTTTCTGTTATCTGGTATTCATAATTGCCCAACAAGGGACCTCAGGAGTAGGATAAAGGAAAAGTGGTAAATTTAGGCTTAATCTTAGTAAATAAAAAAGTTTTCAGAAACAAATAATGCAATTCAAAAAGACTTTTTAAATTTGTGGCGGGTAGGGACAGATAAGGATAATAACAGTGAGAAACCACAGGATGGGGGTGGGGAACAGGTCAAAAAGAATATCTTGATGAAAACCAAGTGTGTATGGGGTGAGGGGAAACACCTAAAGAAATCAATATGACCACACAGCAAACTCTCTTATACATAAACTATTTAAAAATAAAGGAAAAGAAGCTTGTGTCCATTTTTTTTTTAAATAGACATGACAGAGTTGTTAGAACAATGTGAAAATAATTAACCAAAAATGAACTGAGAGCCAGGCATAGTGGCACACACCTGTAATCCAGCAGCTCAGGAGGCTGAGGCACTCAGTGAGAACCTGTCTCTAAATAAAATACAAAATAGGGCTGGGGATGTGGTTCAGTGGTGGAATGCCTGAGTTCAATCCCTGGTTATGCACCCCCTACCACCACCACAAAAAAAAAAAAAAATTGAGGTTGTGAAGGGGAGCTATTTAATTATCTCAAGCTCAATGTAAACAGATTGAGGGTTAATTTTTTAAATTTGTTTTTATCCCTAATATATGATCCTAAGATTGGATTATGAGACAAATAAAGTCCAAAATAGGAAGATAGTAAAAAGACCCCAATGCTTTAAATGAATTCCTTTCCAAGCCCAGAAATACACAGGACAATGAATGAGTACACCTCAGCTTGGAGGCAAGCTTTGAGTGATCAGAGAGTTCTGTCCTTTGCCCTATCAATTGGCTCCATTCTAAGCAGCTTGGATGAAGACAAAGTTGTCATGCTTTTTTTAAACCCTGGATGTCAAAGTTGATAATGATAGGTAATATGTTGTATGCCAGATAACATTTTAAGAAATCCTGACAGTCTGTAGTGATAGATCAAAGATATTCCTTGGAAGACTCCTCAGAAAACTTGGAATGCACCACCATTTGACCCAGCTATCCCAGTTCTCAGTTTATAGTTAAAGAACTTAAAATCAGCATACTACAGTGCCTCAGCCACATCAATGTTTATAGCAGCCCAATTTACAATAGCTAAACTTTGGAACTAATCTAGATGCCCTTCAACAGATGAATGGGTAAAGAAAGTATGGTACATATACACAATGGAATACTACTCAGCCATGAGAAGAATGAAATTATGGCATTTGCCAGTAAATGGATGGAACTGGAGAACATCATGCTAAGTGCAATAAGCTAATCCCAAAGAACCAAAGTCCAATTATTTTCTCTGATATGTGGATGTTAGTTCACAATGGTGGGGGGCAGGGGACACTAGGAAAGAATAGAGGTACTTTGAATTAGGCAGAGGGGAATGAAGGGAAGAGAGGGGTATGGGGTTAGGAAGGATAGTAGAATGAATAGGACATTATTACCCTATGTGCATATATGATTACACAACTGGTATGATTCTACATCATATACAACCAGAAGAATGAGAAGTTATACTCCATTTATGTAAGATGTGTCAAAATGCATTCATTCTACTACCATGTAACTAATTAGAACAAACAAACAAATAAATAAATAATAAAAGATACTCCTTTGGAAAAGACTAGAGGGTTCATACCACTTCAGCTGATCCCAACCCCCACAAGTCCTAATTTGCCTTAGGCAGTGGATGGACTGGCAGAGTACCATTGGGATAACCTGCCCTTTGCTCTCAGGAATAAAAGAGAGTGGGAATAAGGAGATGATAGACTTTTGACTGGAACCACATGGGGAACTAGGCTTGGGAGATAGATTTCAAAATAGCAATTCAAGTGTATTTATAGACCTTGGCCTAGTCCATTGTCAGATTCAAATTCTGAGTTTTTGTTTTGTTTTGTTTAAATATATGACAGTAGAATGCATTACAATTCTTGTTACACATATAGAGCACAATTTTTCATATCTCTGGTTGTATACAAAGTATATCCACACCAATTCATATCTTCATACATATACTTTGGATAATAATGATCACCACATTTTTACCATCATTAATTATCCCATGCCCCCTCCCTTCCCCTCCCACCCTTCTGCCCTATCTAGAGTTCTTCTATTCTTCCCATGCTCCCACTCTCAATCCCACTATGAATCAGTCTCCTTATATCAAAGAAAACATTTGGCATTTGGTTTTCTGAAATTGGCTAACTTCACTTAGCATTATCTTCTCTATATCCATCAGATTCTGAGATTTTATAACTACAGTTACTCACAGTTATTTTAATTGTGTAAAGTCCATCTGTTCTCTAGAATTAGGAGCAATACAGTTCTTAAAATAAACAAGTCTTAATTGGGTACAATAGTAAATCCTCTAATCCCAGCAATTTAGGAGGCTGAGACAAAAAGATTGCAAGTTCAAGGCCAGCCTGAGCAACTCAGCCAGACCCTGTCTCAAAATAAAAATTAAAAGTGGTGGGAATGTAGTTCAGTGGTGAAGTGCCCCTGAGTTCAATCCCCAGTACTACAAAAATAAATAAATAAATAATAAAAATAAAGAAGTCTTGAGCTTAGAAGAGGGCCCAGAAGAAGTATGGCATACCAAAGTAATTTTCAATCTCAAACTGTTTTTTTTTTAAATTATATTCCTAATACAGTAAGCCATACCAACAAAAGGCATTTTATAAGAATTAATGAAGTATACCAATATTTCTACATGCAACTGAACTTCAAAATATCTTAATGATAAGAATGAATAAATGAATAGAGAATTAATCCAGTTAGGCTAACCATGTACATATGGACCAATCCTGTCAATTGTCCTTTCAGAAACTCTAAGATGTGATCCTTTTTTGGAAAATACAATGAAAATTCTACCTCCTACAATGCCTATGTGACATGTTATAGCACCATACTCAAATGACTCTGGTAAGGGCCATCATTGAGAAAGAATTGCATACCCATAAACTCCACCACCTTAGAAAGGGATCGAGCAAAACCTAAATTATTTGAAGTTACTTAGCTACAGAAACTGTTATGGAGGCACTTTAGCCTCATTTAGCCAAATTTCCAAATTAAGACTAGTATTAATATCTCTCTTAAAAACAAAGCTTAAAAGAGCAGCCATATCAATGTATATAGCAGCTCAATTCATAATAACTATGGAAACAACCTAGGTATCCCTCAATAGATGAATGGATAAAGAAAATGTGGTATATATATTCAATGGAATATTATCAGCTTTAAAGAAGAAAGAAATTATGGCATTTGCCAATAAATGGATGTAGCTGGAGAATATCATGCTAAGTGAAATACATGAACTCCAAAAAACCAAAGGCTGAATGTTTTCTCTGATATGCAGATGCTAATTCACAATAAGGGCGTCATCAGGGAAGAATTAGGTAGAGGGGAGTGAAGGGAGGGGAAGGGGGGATATATGGGAATAGGAAGGACAGTAGAATAAAACAGACATTATTACCTTAAGTATATATATGACTGCATGACTGATGTGATTCTACAACATGTACAATCAGAAAAATGAGAAATGATATCCCATCTATGTATGATATATCAAAGTGCATAAACGCATTCTACTGTTATGAATAACTAATTAAAACAAACTTAAAAATTAAAAAAAGAGTAGTATAGTTTTTTATAATTAAAAACAAATCAAAACAACCAGACATACAGGACCAATTACCTTAGCCTTTTTGAGCAGATCGACTATATCGAGATTCATGGAGGCTAGTTCCCTGCTTGGCATGCTCTGTAGCTGTGTGATGATGAACAGCTCACAGATGTGCTGCAGTCTGGAGACTTGGTACATCTCAGCACAGATCAGGAGACACATGGCCTGGAAAATGCCAGCTAACAGAGAAGGGCAATAAGAGGAAACAGGTGATAAAACCTCTGCTTTCACAATCTAACACACACACACACACACACACACACGCACGCACAGAACAAGAAAAAAAAAAAAAACATACTGATGGTATCATCCAATGTGGACAAGAATGCCTAGGAAAAGCCTTCAGTATCAGCATTCTAAACCATTATGCATATTAAAAATCCACTTAAGCTGTCACACTCAGAGAGGAATCCAGAGTAGGCAACTCCTAACTGACCTTAAGTATCAACCCAGAGGTCAATTGATCCATCAGGTCAATCTTTTTTATTTTTTAATTTATTCTAAATTGTAATATATGACAGCAGAATGTATTTCAATTCATAGTACACACATATTGCACAATTTTTCATATCTCTGGTTGTACACAATGTAGAGTCACACTATTTGTGTCTTTATACATGTACTTAGAGTAATGATGTTCAACTCATTCCACAGTCTTTCCTACCCCCAGGCCCCCTCCTTTACCTCCCTCCCCTTTGCCCTATCTAGAGTTCCTCCCATGCTCCGTCCCCCCAACTACATTATGAATCAGCATCCTTATATCAGAGAAAACATTCGACCTTTGGTTTTTTGGGAGTGGCTAGCTTCCCTTAGCATTATATTCTCCAACTACATCCATTTACCTGCAAGTGCTATGATTTTATTCTCTTTTAATGCTGAGTAATATGCCATTGTATATGTATGTATGTGTATGTGTATATATATATATATCAGGTCAACCTTTTTTTTAATTTTTTTAGTTATAGATGGACACAATATCTTTATTTATTTATTTTTATGTGGTGCTGAGGATGGAATTCAGTGCCTCATATGTGGGAGGCAGGAGCTCTACCACTGAGCTGCAGCCCCAGCCCCTCAGGTCAATCTTTCTGTTAGCAATTTTTCTTTCTTGGCTCTAGTCCCCAGCCTTATTTGTCTTGTTTTTATTGTGGTAAAATAGATATAACATAAAATTTATCATCTTAGTAATTTTTGAGCATACAGTTGAGTGACAAGAAGTGTCTTCATGGTGCTGTGCACCCAGCATTACTATTCCAGAACTTTTTTCATCTTTCCAAAATGAAGTTCTAGATCCATTAAACAATCACTTTCCATTTCTCCATGCCTCTCGCCTCTGGCAACCACCCAGTTTGTTTGTTGTAAACACTTTTCTGTGAGTCTGATTACTATTTCTTTCCTGAATATTTTTTCTAATTAGCAGGATGAAGCCTAATGTTAGGGCAGTTTCAGTTACTCCAAAGAGTAATGGAGACACCAAATTTTACTATTATTTCAAATCTGGTCAACTTTTTAATTTAATATACAAAATTACCATTATTGAAATAATAAACAATCACATTTATTTCCAATAAGAACCAGTGTTTTAACTTTTATTAGGCAAAAAGGATAAGCTGATCTTTAATAGCTGATCTGTTAATAAGCAAGTATCTCCAAAATACTCCATGGCTAGACCAAACCTAATTTAATTTAAAAAAAGAAAAATTGCTTTTCTTTTCTGGAATTTCTAAAATATTCCAGTAGAGGGCTTATTACATTTAAAATATTTCAATAATAAAAGCAGGAAATTTTCCTACTCTAAAAATTAAAGGAGGGAACCTTAAAGAGAAATGTGGTCTGAGACATGTTTTCTTTTTGTATTTGCTAGGATGCCTTCCTAGGTTTTGTAATAAAGATCTCAGTCTCTTGGACTATATGGGGCTCTAGCTGCATTTGTGGTGGGAGCCACCTGGTGGCCAAAGGATAAAGAGTAATCAAAGGGGCTTCTATGCCTGTATCACAAAGCTCTGGGCCTTTGAAAGGATTTTGCTTTCTCCAAACTGCCTCCAGTTAGAGAAAATCTGCAAGATGTGTCCCAACCTACAGTTGCCACAGATGGTTAGTTCCTGGTCAAAACAGTCCTTGGTCAGTGAATTTGTAAATAAATTCTATAGTTCACTGGATATCCTAAACATCTTGGGAAAAGTTTTCAGGGGGAGTCAGTTTTATGACAGTCTGACTCTAGCAGAAGTTGGAAGGAGCTTTTAAAAAAAAAAAAAAAAATCCCACATCCTCTGGGCCAGATGCCATGGCCTCTCAGAATATCAAAAGTCCTCAAAAATACCTCATTCAGAAGTCAGAATCATAAAAGAAGTCTCCCAACCCTTTTCTTTGTGTGGAAGAGATAATGCTCCAATCTCTAGAATTAGAAAGGCCATTAGATCCCCAAACCCCTCCATTTCTGGGTGCCTAGAGGGGTCACAACACAGTTGGAGGTGGCTGGGACCTGTACATTTATGCCAGAGGCTTAAAGCCCATAAACGGCTTCCAATCATTGCTTTCCCACTTGAACTAATTGAAGATTCATTGTTGTCCCAACACCATCTCCAACCGTTTAGCGCATGCCATGATGCCAATTGTGGTAGACCTTAACCAAAACCAGATTTCACAGAACACAATTTATCAAAATGGGTAACACAGAAAGTATATTGTGAGTTATTATTTAGCATGTATATTCCTCACCTGGGCAACAGGAGTCGGTATATAGGTATTCTAAAAATGACAAGAAAGTCTCTTTGGAAACACCATAAACTGGAATCAGGACACTCTTTGCTTCCATGTAATTACCATTAAACATGGCCGCCATCACTTCACAACGGGCCACCAGGATGGCCCTATGGGCTGGCACTGTTGTACCTGGAAGGTGCAAAAGAAAGACAAAGTCAAGTAGGATAAATTTGCTGAGTTACCACACTAGCAATTTCTTTCCAGAGTGGCACTGCATATCATCAGCTAAACTGATATGCAAAAGCCAAATCTAGGGGATGGCAACCATTTATTACTCCAGTGATTTTAGTTTGAAGTTGAATGATAAAGAGAGCTCAAATACTGACTTTGAAAGCAACAATTTTCAAATCATGTAACCATTTATTTAATTTATATTTCCTAAACACAGTAACATTGAAAAGGGTTCTTGCTTTGTTTTTATAATGAAATGTCTATCCTTTCTGACTGACTCAAAGTAACACCTCCCCTGGACAGAGGAGGAACATGATGTGGACACCTTCCTTCAAGAAAACTACCCTATGATCCTTTCTGGCCAAACTCACAGAATAGTCTTGGCCAGGCTTCCCCATATTAGAAATAGAAAACTGTAACAAGCACACTAGGAACAGTCCATACCTCACAGTAGGAATGACAAGAGAATCTCTGTGGCTCTGCCTCTTCTAAGCATACTACCTCCCCAGGCAACAATTCTTTTCCACATGAACAATGCCTTCTTCTAGAGGAACCAGGACTTTAATTTAAAGGCCCCCTCAGCCCATACTCCACACTGAAGATCCACTAAATTAAATCGACTCTCATGGGAGAGCTTGCTAAGCTCTCCACCACCACATAAAGGCAATTCCACATGGGGCGTAGGTGGGCCTGGGAATCATGAGATGATGGAGCAGTTCTCAGCACTCCTACAACATCAGAAGACCATAAGTTCACACTGCCAGCCTTTAGTCTGACCTAACAAGTTCCACAGATCACTGCTGGGCACCCTCCATATGCCAATCACTGTGTTTGGAACTGAAGACACAAAGGTGAGGAAGTCGAAGCTATCATGCTTTGGAATAGGAGTTGTAATTGGGAATACCATGGCCAGAGGGCGTGACAAAGCAGCCCCCTCCAGAAAGTAACTCTATGTGCCAAACTACTCTGCCCAAGAATTTATACACATCTCTAAAATCTCATACTTATCAAGGGTATATATTCTTCTCGAAAATATTTACAACTATTGGGTTATCTCCTTTACATCCAAACCTCTTCTGACTCAGAGACACCGCCTAAGCCCAGTGTCTCTCTCCAAAGCCAGTAATTCCTTGGGATCCACATGCAGCCCCTGATGTTGCCAGCTGAGCCCAATGTTTGGCACTGCAGTCTACACCATATCTCCCCCACCAGGAGCAAGGAAGCAGCCCCCAAAGCTACACCCAATAAACACTACCTACCTCCTCCTTCTCTGTCATGACTTTCCCAGCCTCAATGTGACAGTGTCCCTCTACCAAATGGACCAGTTCCATAATTAAAGCATGATATATATAGGCAGCAGTTAACAAGGGATTCAAACAGGTAATGCAATCAATTTAAAGGTTTAAAAATGTTCAAGATAAATAGGGCATCATTTTAAAAAAATAAAGAAAAAGAAGGAAAATTAGAAGCATAGTTAAACAAACTGAATGACCCATAATTTGAGTTAAGCAGAGTGATTTAAGATTGACTAAAAATACCAAGTGGATATTAGATGGGGGTGGAATTTGATAAATCTTGAAATTTTAACAGAAATTTGTGTTGAGGCCAGATGCAGTGGCGTACCACATAATCCCAGCTACTCCAAGGATCACAAATTTTAGACCAGCCTCAAAACCCTGTCTCAAAATAAAAAATAAAAATGTCTGGGGATGTAGCTCAGTGTTAGAACATCCCTGGGTCCAACCCTCAGGACAGTAGGGGAAAAGAAGAAGAAAAGAAAAAAGAAAGAAAGAAAGAAATTTCTGTTGATCATGTTACAACAGAATTGCAAAACCAACTGCAAAACACTTTCAAGACCATTTCAAGCTTAAAATTTAGTTTGGAAAGCCATCAGACTTCCAGTAAAGAAAACATCAACTTCTGTTTCTCAGCTCTTTACACCACTGTTCTGGTGCTATAAATTGTTGTGTTAACATAATGCCCCAGGAGAGCTATGTTTTTTTAACACTGTATATAAAAATATTTGCTAAAAGAACATTATGCAGTGTTTATATACTAACCAGTAATAGGATACAGGTGAAGAATTACTTAAAGAACAAAAAAAAAAAAAAAAAAACCAAACAATTTTCTAGCTAAAAGATAAACATGCTCTTGGAAAATGTCAAGGCCAAACTATCTTTTCTTTGTATTATTCATTTGATGTCGCAGTTTTAAGAGACTTTTTCTAAGGAAAAAAATAATCTTAAGAATGAAACAAAATATAAAAGCTCAATTCTCCTACTATCTTTGATGGATTATCAGAGGCCTTGATTCCATTGCATACAAAATAAAATACTACATTTGTTACACCATTTTTTTACTACTTTTCAGGTTTCAAAAGTGAAATTTTTAGAATTGTGTTTGATCTCATTCTGAAAAAAAAAAGGATATCTGTCTTGCTGAAGAGAGATTTAGAGTATGTACTACATAGCTAAACAGGGAAGGAATAATTTTGTAAAAGAACTTTTCATGTGACACAGATTTAAATGTCAAAGGAAACCCCTATTTTTCTATACATGTCTAAATATTTACCAATACTAACTTTAGAATGGCTAGAGTAACTTCTTTTTTTAAATAAACCCAAACAACGAATTACAGGTGGTAGTGAAAATACATATTTGATGATCACCTATTACAGGGACAGTATCCCATGTCAGGTTTTTACATCCCATTTTGACTTCAGCCAGTTGTTGGTAACAGTCTGAATCCTTCTAAAAGAAGGGTTTTCTGTGGAGCCTGGGTTCAACATGAATGGCACAGTGACCTGCCAGAGATGGCTGCCATGCACAGAAAAAGGGTGGCGTCCATGAGTCAGGCCTGCACTGGTCCTGCACATCCACTCTCGATTCTTGTAACCACCACCTCACAAGGCAGAAATTAGAATCTCCTCCCACAGATGAGGAAACAAAGGTGCTTCATCTTATGAATGAAAAATTTCTGTTAAAATTTAAAGGTGACATCAAATTTCACCCACATCTACTATCCACTTGGTACTTTTGATCAATCTTAAAAATCAATAATGGAAAGTAATTCACTCAAATCTGTACAGTAAAAACATGTCCCAGCAAAGACCCCAGCTAGGACTTCCTGGCCTATGCTAATTCTACCTCATCAAGGTACATTGGTTTATTAGTTCTGGGCTGATACCCCAGACATTTCATCCTCACTTAGGTTTCCCTAAGCCTCCCATGAGGTTCAGTGATGTTCACGCTCAAAACTGGAGTAAAGAAGCCAAAGAGTTATTACTTGTGACTTCAAATTTACTATTATTGCATGAAGAGTAAACCTTACACTTAAATAACTACTTAGTTTTAAAATGGTCTTTCCTGTTGTGTCACATAAATTTATACTAAGGATACCAAAGTTATATCCAAATGTGAATTATTTCACAAATACGAATCTTTCAGAACACATACTTTGCATTACAAATATTTTAGGTCAAAGTGTATAGAAGAAAAACTGCACATTTATCTAAGACTTCACTAAAACTTTAAAAAATTCTATAATTAATATTTGAGATGGTTTATTATCAACCATTACTCTGAGGGTCTCTATCAATTCCAGTATAAGTCAACTTGAAATATTTTGAAATATAAGAATGCTTTCCTTCCCTATTTTTGGTATAAAATACTTTAATTATCAATTAAAAAGTTAGAGATACATTCACACTTCAAACAGCTATTTTCATTAATACCAGAAACAAAACCCAAAAAAAGACACTGTTTTTTTTTTTTTTAGAGTGACATTGGGTGTGGGAGCCTGGCCCTCAACTTAAGATGTGAAACACGGGGATGTCTGAAAAGTCCACAGGAAGGGTAAACAAAATGACCAAGCCTGAGTGGAACAGAGGCATTGCCCCCGGAGGCCATAAACCCTGCAAAGATTTGAAGAGCGTTTATGTTGTACATGTCAATTCTCAACTTCAGAACCATCAATCTCATTATCAAGTGTCATTTATTAAAGGTTGGTTGATGTTGTGGGACATAGTGATGCAACAAAGCATGTGTGATGTGATTACTCATTTGCAGAATAACCCAACAGTCCATCTATAAGAGGATTACTGAGGTGTTTGGAAATATAAACTTCCAACCAAGGAAATATAGGTTACAAAAAATAAATGAATGACTAAAGACAACCAAAGGACTAGAACTTGATCATCAGTGAAGAATTAAATACTGAGTCCATTATATTTTATCTGATTTGTCTCAAATACTGTGTGAGTGGTAAGAGATTGGTCAGCCCTGGTCACAGGACCAGTACCAGAGCATCCGAGAAAGTCCTAAATATTGGATATGATTAATAAACACACTATATTCTATTATAGGGTAAAAAACATTCATCAGATTCATTAAGGTCCTGACGAAACAGCACTACAAACTATTCTTATGTTCACCACATAACCTTCAGTTTACCACTTCTTTTTTCCCTTATGAAAAACATGCCCTAGATTGTCATATGGTCCCTGGAGTACTTTGTTCCCACCTCATCCTCAACTGCTCAGTATGAATCCAATCAACCCTAAAACACATATGGCTAAACAGATCTCAGTGCCCCACAGGAAATCATTTGGAAAAGAGTACTTGGACATCTCCTGCCATCAGCCACCTTCTTTTAGAATATAGAAACTGTTATTCCATCTTTCTAAAATGGACTTTAAAAAAATTAATCTTGGAAAAACAAATCGTATTTCTTCTCAACAATGGATACAGTCCTTCCTGTTGACGTGTAACGCTTCTTAGATGATTTGTTAAAAAAAATCTCTATGCCTTTTGCATAGATAGAATGCATCAACCATTTTCCATGAATACTTTCATCAACAAAGATTTTTCTTCTAGAAGCTAGAGAGAATTCTATAAACCACAGGGAGCTTTATCCCCCAAAGGCTTGCTCCACCTATAATGAATAATCAATGAACCCTGGCTTCACTTTGGGTTTTATTTTGGCAAGTAATAAATCAAGGCATGATAATATTAGGGGCTTAGTCAGAGTCAGTTTTAGGTTTCTTAAAATGATGAAAGGGTTACAGAAAATCTGTGGCCTCTGTTGGCTTTCCCCCCCACCCCATCACTTTTTATATGTCTCAAGGTTACTCTTATTGTCTCATTTTCAATGTCCTAGGCTCATACTGCCTACAGTGCTGACAGCAGCTTTGGAAGGTACTTTGGAAAGCTTCCAATTAACTGTTTGTCTTGGAAGGTGACCAAAGTTAAAAGTAAAATGAATCTTTCTGGGCAAATAGTTTTTAAAGTAAATGACCATGTTAGCTGTCACATATTTCCACCATAAAATTAGAATTATATCTTACTCTTCACAATAGCCCACATAAAGTTCTAGTTAATTCATCTGGAAACATCTCCTTCTACCCTTCTTGCATAACTAAACATATATGAGAATTCATTTCAAGATTCTGCTTTTAACATGCTAATCTGACAAAATTATCCGTGCAAGTAACTAATAATGGGCATTAAAACAGCTCATATTTATTACAATTAGGTGGCATTACTTTCCCACAGAGATAAGAAGCAGCTTTCAGTTGCTCTGGAAAACACTTGTGAGCACTGTGAGAAATCAACGCAGCAATATCTGTGGGTGTCTGATACAGTCCAGGCATGACCCTCAATTCAAAATTAGATCCTCTCACTCAAATAAAGACACACACACACACACACACACACACACACACAGAGAGAGAGAGAAATGAACAAAATGAACAAAAGGTAATGTAATTTTAAGGGAGCTGACCTCACTTGAATCAAAAACCAGTATATTACCCAGGCCTTTAATCCCAGTGACCTGGGAGACTGAGGCAGTGGATGGCAAGTTTAAAGCCAGCCTGTGCAACTTAGTAAGACCCTATCTTGAAATAAAAGGGCTAGGGATCTGGGAGAGCACCCCTGTGTTCAATCCTCAGCACAAACATACACTCAAAAAACACTTGCCCCAAAACTAAGCAAACAAACCACTCAGGATCTTAAAGAAATTCACAAACAAAAATACATAATAATGTATTACATATTATCTCATCCTTGCTGATTTCTAGAAAACATCTGGGTGTTGAGGCACATGCCAATAATCCCAGCAATTCTGGAGGCTGAGGCAGAAGGACTGCAAGTTCTAGGCGCCCCTCCCCCCTTTCTCTCATGTGCGCACAGGGACACACACACACACAATCACACACACACATTTATCAGAAGCTGAAACAAAGTGAGGAAAGCAAATAAAAAAATGAAAATGCATAATGAACTTTGCAAATTTGAGCCATACCTTGTATTTCAAAGACAACATCAGCAAGCATCGGTTTATTAAGGAAAAACTTGAGGGAAGTGTTATAAAACCACAGAGGTTTTCTGGCTTGGTAGGTTTTGCAATTCCTTAGACAATTAATCTATAAGAAAAAACACAAATACAAGAAGAGAGATTGTTCAATATGCTTTGGCAATATTTAAGTACTGGTTTGAGAATTTGTCTGTCTGAAGAAATAATGATTACTTACTCCATGGCATTTCTTTTTTTTTTTTTTTTAATATTCATTTTTTAGTTGTAGTTGGACAATACCTTATTTTATTTATTCATTTCTATGTGGTGCTGATGATTGAACCCAGGGCCCTGCACGTGCTAGGCGATTGCTCCACCACTAAGCCACAAACCCAGCCCCTCTCTGTGGCACTTCTGATCACAGTGTTGGAGGAAACTCACCCTCAAGTACTACTTCTGCTCCCTGTTTATAGTACCGTACTCAACACACAACACAGGACAGGCACTGGCTAAGTGAAAACACAACTCTATAGCCAAGAAGCTGTAGGAACCTGAACTGCTACGGGTCTTCATTGAGAAACAGCAGCAGCACAAACACATATGAATGCCTAACAAAATAAGTTTACTCATTCTATCTGATTTGTTCATTAAGAAAGTAAGAAGGGGCTGGGGATGTAGCTCAAGCGGTAGCGCGCTCGCGTGGCATGCGTGCGGCCCGGGTTCGATCCTCAACACCACATACAAACAAAGATGTTGTGTCTGCCAAAACACTAAAAAATAAATACTAAAATTTCTCTCTCCTTCTCTCTCCTCTATCTCTCTCTCTCTCTCTCTCTTTTAAAAAAAAAAAAAGAAAAGAAAGAAGACAAAAATTCAATTGGCAATTTAGGAAAATACATTTTCCCCTTATCATACCATGTTCTTTTATTGCCTATTAGCTCAATATTTTCTCCTAAAGAAATGAACATTAAATACACACACACCTTAGAGTGATTAATTGGCTCATGTCCATCTTAATCACCAATCTTATAATCCTAATATCTTTTCTATACACTGCACAGACTACTCATTCACCTGGGTCTCTGATCTGGAGCTCCAATTGCTCTTCCCTTGACAACACATCCCTTGTCCCATCACACCTGCCTGCTGCAGCTGGCAGCCTTAAGGGGCAGTGCCTCCATCCCACTCAGCCTTCAGACATCCCTTTGTTCCAAACCTAGAAGTTGAGGGCCAGCCTCACTTTCCTCAACCTCCATCCATTTTCTTTTCCTTTCTTACTTACTCTGGTTTATTTATAATGAATAAGCTAAACAAACCTGAACATTTTCAGGTAGAGTTGCCCAAAGATGAAGAAATATAACTTATTTGAAATACTAGGATTCATTAGGACTACAAGCTTTTTTGCATTATTATACGCTCATTTGGGATGATTTAATGATGATTTTTATTGAAACATCATATCTTACTCATTCCTGACAGATTCACCCATTTCCCTGGTTGAATCGCAGCCCTGCTCAGAATTTTAAACCTCTACTTGGCTAGCTAGGGAAATCAAAACACTCTATCTCCTAGAAATAATCACACATGTAACATTAAGAATAATAAGAATAAATGACACATACTCCCCACTGCCGATTAATCTACTGTGGTGAAAATTTTAAATCTTTAGTGAGTGGGGAAAATAGCAGTATCCTTCCTCACAAAGAAAAAGGAAACACACTGCTGAATGGCGTCCAAGAGGAAGCAGAGAGGTAAAACAGACCACATGAATGGGGGTCCTTTAACCACATTCTTACCTATTCACAATGTGCCACAATACACCGTGAAGGAGCCAGGGATAGAAGCTAGTGAATGCTTCACAAAAAGGAGACTATCAGCCAGCAAGTATCACAGATTTGGAAGTTAGTAGAAGCCTCCAGGAGCACAGTGCCTCCATTTAAAGAAAGCCCTGACTTGCTCTAAGTTGTAGAGATAATTGGTGGCAGGCTCACAATTTAAATCCACATTCCCGAAGTTCTAATTCAGTGTCACTTGTTTTCTGTTTTGTTTTGTTTGTTTCCATTTTTCAGTACTAAGGATGGAACCCTGGGCCTTGAGCATGCTAGGCAAGCACTCTGAGCAGCATCCCCAACACAGTGTTACTTTCCTGTAATGTGTTCAGTCAGTGAGATGGACTTTTATCCCAGGAAAGCACAGAAGATGGGTGGAAAAACTTTTCCCTCTTGTGCAAGCAAGGGATTCAATAGCATGGAATTCCCTTCACAAGAGGAATTCAGTTTATTCTCAGTACCCAAAGGGATGTATGCAGAATGAGACCCATGAAAAAAGGTGCAGGTTCAAAACAAAAGCAACACTCTTCCCTTACCTGTACATAAAGGTATGAATTTGTACACTGTGAACATTATGTACCTATATATTATGTATGAATGTATGTGTCATTTCTGCTTTGAATTTGAAAGAAAAAAGTGAGAGGGCAGAAGTTTAGTGAGAACACAGATGTATATGATGTGCATTTTCATTGGTCAATACATAAGTTATGATCCATAACATAAGTTAACTAGACCAATTGCTTTGAAAATCAGAATGTAGGTGTATTACATATTTTTACAAAATAATTATTTACTTGAATTAGTTGCAAGAGAGCTACCATCCTGCTAAACACCTGTAAAACTAGACAGCTTCAGTATCTGCTTCAATAAGTTACTGAAGTAAAAGAAAGATCTGGCCCCTTAATTCCACGCTATTTTGCTAAAAAATCTTTCTTCTCAATTAAAGAACAGTCAGGAATCTTCATTATAATTATAGTTTATATTTTTAAACTATAAATTTAGGGTTGTAGAAGTGACAAAGTCAATTGTAGAAAATAAATAAAGAAATAATATTCTTTTTTTACATTAAATATAAATCTGTATTCTGCTAGGCGTTATACACAATGTACCTTTTTATCTACTATAGTCAACTTGTTTATCACAGAATCTGAAATAAGAGTACACTGGTTTAATTATATAATGTGGTTGTTTTAAAATTTAACAAATCTACTTTTAAAAGTTCTTATATAGTCTACAATTTAAGTTATTGGAGTTTTAATGTACACATTTATGGCCATATATAAATTCTATATTTTTATAACCCCAAACTTAGTTATCGTTTTGAACTTAAACTAGATAGAATCCTTAATTGCCCACCTGGTTATATAAATTTCTCAGAACCCTCAAAAAAGGCACACACAGGAACTGCCCTCCTCCTGCAAACAACTTTGATTGTGAGCCATAAGAAAGCATCCTCTCCAAGAAGTTGAACTGCAGCTGGAAAAATCAAACAACCCTTCCTTCCTGACATGGATCATGTATTTCCAGAGCTCTAGTGAAGTATTCCAGAAGTTTGAACTCACAAATGAGTATTTTGAAGACATGACTCACACATATTTTAATTCTTACATAAATTTAAATCTAAGTAACAAAATAGCATGTGTTTCTACTTAAGATGTTACATGGAAGAAATATATTCAGGGGAAATACTCATTTATATATTACTTAATTCTTCTAATGACTCCATATTACATACATCATTTTATGTCAGAGAGAGTCAAACAAATTAACTTACCTTTCCCGGTGTTTTTAAAATGCATTTAACTTTCTCAATTACATTAGAAACATCCCCAGAATCTTTCAACTTCTTCCTGATATCTTCTTCCAATTCTTCCCACTGAAAAGCACCTGTAGCAAATTAGTACATATTATAATTTTCTATTACAGCAGAAGGTAAGAAAAATTAATCTCACACTAGATATCATTATTCATTTTGTTTTTGTTTTTTTAGCATTTTCTTCTAGTTTTTTCTTTACCAAACATAGTCTTACTATTATGAAATACATTTAATAGCTCTTATATTTTTAACAAATCAGTTTTGGGCTTCCCTTACATTTCTTGAAACCGGAAGTACTCTTGCCTGAACAGCTGCCACCTCTCTGTGACTGGTGATAACAGCACTGGCCAGAATATGAGCTACTACGACAAGGGCTCCAATATCCAAGTTATTTGTCTGCCCTGGGGAAGAAGGTAGATGCACTCTTTCCCATACTGATCATGGAGAGCACTGACCATCAGGTAGAGGAATACGAAACAGAAAACATTCTAAAGGTGTCATGAATGGGAGCATTTCTCCAGAAAATCCCCTATGCATACAAAAAGTCTGCATAAAAACATCAAGAGTTTAAGGACCCAGTGGAAAAGCCAATGGAAATTGAACAAAGAAATTTTGTTCAGTTGGGCACTATGGCACACAATTGTGATCCTAGAGACTTAAGAGGCTGAGATAGAAGGATCACAAGTTTGAGGACAGCCTGGGCAACTCAGCAAGACCCTGTCTCAAAAACAAAAACAAAAACAAAAAATTAAATAAAAAGGGCTGGGAATGTAGCTCAGGTTCAATACTACTAATTAAAAGGAAAAAAGGAAGATATTTAAATTTATTCTATATCAGCTATTCACAGTCCTATCTGTGCATTATATTTACCTGGAGATGTACCTGTTATAAAATGCTATCAGAAGAGGTCTCGTACCAATTAAATTATAATTTTTGGAGCTGAGGCCCTGACACCAATATGTTTTTAAGACCTCCTAGGTGACTTGATGTGTATGGAGTGCTGCTGATGACCACTATTCTACCTTTAGAAATCTCATCCATTATCATAACCCAGGGTAAGCGGTACACAGCAAGTAGTAGGTGTAGTTATTTTTGATTGTCTACACTCACCCAAGCTGAAGGAGAACACAAATACTGTCTCTGTAGTCACCTTTAATATGATGAGTAAAAGTTACACTAAGTTAACATGTTAACATAAGTAAAGTTACATTAACTAAAGAGCATCTATATCTCCAATGAGATTATTATCTGAAAGTAAACATGTATCAAATAATCTAAATACATGGATTAGCATCAGGTAACCCTCTCCCCGCCCAACACACACACACACAGGTCACTGGGCTATTGGTTTGTGAAAACAGACACAAAAAGAACCAATAACTAAGGATGAAAGAAAGATAATTTTTTAAATTATTTTTTTAGTTGTTGAGGGACATGATACTTTATTTTTATTTTTTTATTTTTATGTGGTGCTGAGGATTGAACACAGTGCCTCACAAGTGCTAAGCCAGTACTCTACCACTGAGCCACAACCCCAGCCTGAAAGTAAGACTAATTTTTAAGTGCACATTAATTGAGTGGGCTGTTTTCACAATCAGAAATGCTAACGGAATCATCTTTGATGCCTTTAGGTCCAAATAAAACCATAATCATTGCACTGGGAATTTTGTTTTGTAATAAAGACATTTAACATGAGATATAAAAGATCTAACCTCCTCCTTTTACATTTATTTATCTACCTACCTACCTATTTATTTATTTATTTTTGTGGTACTAGGGATTAAATCTAGGGGTACTCTATCACTGAGCTACACCCAGCCTTTTTATTTTGAGACAGAGTCTCCCTTAGTTGCTATGGCTGGCCTTGAACTTGTGATCCTCCTGACTCAGCCTCCCTAGTCACTGGAATTATAGGCATGTGCCACCACACACAGCCCAACCTCCTACATTTTTTAAGTTTATAGTCCAGTATTGTTAACAATAAGCATGAAGCCATATGGCAAGATCTCTAGAGTTTATTCATCTTGCATTATTCAGTGGGATTTTTCTTTTTTTCTTTCTTTTTTTTTTTTTTTTTTGGTGCTGAGACCCGGGAGTGAACTCAGTGGGATTTTTTAAAGGATAGCTTTTCAAAACACTTATCTAGCCTCTTAGCACATTATACTCAGGTATAACCTCAGGTATAACAGGCTGCTTTTATGCAATGCAGAAAAGAACATGCCAAGAATAATTCTAAGCAAAGGAGTATACAATGCAAACTAAAGATGAACACTCAATTCCACATATTTATCTACCCTGCAGCATTTCAGTAAGTGATATGAAATGCTAGGGTCCTTCTGTGACAGGAAGAGATCAAAGCTACATTTTTGAGGCTCTTACAAATATTTAAATTCTTAACCATCTGAGATCAGGTGACAGAAATTTGCAAGCCTAAGACTGTGTCAAGTATTGTAAGAATGTTACAATTGTATGCCATTTAAGGATTACTCCCTGAAGACCAAGAAACCATGGGCCTCACTGTGCCACTAGTTCTTTTCCTCTAAGGAGCAGTCATGAGATACTGACACATTATGCAGTGTTCTTTATCATCCAGTGGAAAATTAACACATACAAAACAGACATACCTGGACTGTTATCTATTTATTTAAAAATCTGAATGGGAAAATAAACTGAAGCCTTAAATTTAGGTATAAAATGTTAACCATACTACTAAATAGGACCCTCTTAAATAAATGACCAGATGACCAAGGTGACACAATATAAACAAAATTTCAAATTCCTACAGGTTAAAATAAAAAGCATGCTATTAAAAAAAATCAAAATATTCTTTGTAACCTGCTTAATTTAACAAAAACAAACAAACAAACAAAAAAACCTCAACAACAAAATAAAGGGCAGGAGATAGGTTTCTTTTGATCTTTCAGCCCCTGTTTTCTCAGGGCAAATATCCATAGCATGCCATGCCCTAGTGTTCTACCTCTGTGTGAGCAGAAGAACTGACATGAATACCAACAGTCTTGTTGGCCATGATATCCTAACAACAACAACAACAACAAAAAACAGACCTGGCTCCTTTATTGAAGACTCTAAGAAAAATGTATGTTATATTTAAAATGTTTGTTTGATTTGATAAAAGACATTAAAAAAAAAAAAAAAAAAGCAGTCACAAACAAGGACTAGAAAAAAGTAATAATGTTCAAACATTTTCTCCTGACAGTGGGATCTATGTGATTTTTTTGTTTCTCTTACACATTTTCTACATTTTTCAAAATTTTCTTTATTTGAAAATATATTTTATTCCTTTTCTTTTTTTTCCCTAGGTGCTGGGGATTGAACATGTGGCCTTGCACATCTAAGCAAGCATCTACTACTAAACCACATCCCCAGTCTTGTTTTACTATTTTTTAAACATAGCTTTTGCCAGAGTCACAGGTTATTATCTATAAAAAATTAAAGAAGGGGCTGGAGTTGTGGCTCAATGGTAGAGTGCTTGCCTGGCATGTGTGAGGCACTGGGTTCAATTCTCAACACCATATAGAAAAACAAATAAATATATTGTGTCTATCAACAACTAAAAATTTTAAAAAAATTAAAGAATAAAAGTAAGTTAAATAATGAAGAATAATTAACTGTAGAACCAGTTACTTTTCCTTCTCAACTAGCACCAGGGTCTCCTATAGCCTCAGGTCACGGGCCTGTACCCCTATTCATAGCTAACACCACCTTCTGCCTCATTGAGATGTACAGGAAGTGATCACTGAAGAAATGGGCTAGTTCAGTGTCAGGTTAGGAAGCGGAGCTATGAAGTTAAGGTAGCTCAGGAAGCTCTCCATACTCCATTCACTCCACTGGCCTCTGCCCTCTAATCCCTGTTTCCTGGCTCACTTACTTTCTAATCAAGAGCTAAGTATCCACTTCCCCCCACTTCAGGCAGAGGACACAATAGGATGCTGAGCACCCCAACTCCAAAAAGTTCAGCACCAACCTTGCAGCTCACCCCATTTTGACTTTGTACCCTAAGTTGGTATAGGGTTCGTTCTTCAGTTTCTGAACGAAATTTGAAGCCAAATTTTAACTGGTACCCATTCTTCCAAGAGCATCAAGCATTTGGGAGGCTGTTGGAAAAGCAGAATCTTATGGCCTTTCCCCAAATCGGAATCTGCTCATTAACAAGACTGCCAGGTGACTTGAGTGCACTTGAAGATTTGAGAGAACTAGTCTAGATGATGAAGGGCCAAGGGTAACACAGTCACTGCCCAAATGTTGGTCACCAGAATGAAATAATGGGCCTCCTAACTGGATTCCTGTCTTACCTTCTCTATTCCAACCTCACACAATCACCAGAAATGAGTTTTCTAAAGTCCAGTCTGATGATGCTTAAAACACTCTAGCATAGCTTCGAGGAAAGGCAGGAACTGTTTCCACAGGCCTTGCCTCATCTCCCATCAGCCTTCATCTTCCACATTATGCTCCAGCCTCAGGAAACTATCTATGGTCCCTGGAAAACAGCACTTACTGAAAACTATGTTTTTACTAAAGCATATTTAATAGTTCATTATTATTCACTTTCAAATAGCATCAGAGAGAATACAAAAAGAAACTGTTTTTATAGGTAACTGAGTCTGGAGAATGGGTATGGGTTACAAGGAGAACTTTTTATTTTAACCCTTTTCCCGCATCTGCCTATATAAATTTGGAATTTTAAAAAATCTCTCCCTAGGAGAAAGCCAGGCATGTTCAACCACTGGAGGTACATGTTGCCGTTTTACTGCTGCCATATTAAAGATGTAACTGACTTCAGAATGTTTGTGTGTCTTTGAAAGGATTGAATGGATATTGTGGGAAACTTGCTGAATAATTCATAGAATTTCAACAGTAAAATCACTGAGAAGTAAAACACATCCTTCACATTTCCTTAAACTTGTCATTAAAAACGTTTTTTTTTTTTTTTCATTTAACATGCAAACATTTTGGCTTTTCAAAATTAGTCTCAAATTCTGAACTCAATGTGAAATTCTAGGTTTAAACATTAAAATCTGTAGTACTAAAAGAAGTCCTTAACTACTCTTGTCTTATTCATATGATGATTCCCAACTACTAGAAAATACTCTGTAATGGAAGTGGTTACATATGATTACATATGATCGTACTATGCTGAAGGGTGTGTGCTGTACGTAAGGGGTCCTTACGTTTGCCTTTTCCAAGCCAGTGTTCACTGACCTTCCACCACATTCTAGTCCAATACATATATATTTTACACACATAAACCTGCATGCTGTAACTATACTTTTCAAAATCATAACATTTTAATTTATAAAATTATATAACTACAACACAAATGAAAATAGTGTCATCTTATTTTTAACATCAACCATTTAAATGAAGACTATCCAAATACATTATTTCAAGTAGAAAAAGAAAATTATTAAGAAGAAAAGAAAGTTTTCCTCAGAAAACTTATATTCAGATGCTTACTTGAAACATCATTGTATATGCACTCTTTTCTACCCATACATAGGACACTTGGGCATGAGACCATTGATTCTTTTGCTAAAGTGATGCAAATTTTATTTAAATTCTATTTAAAACTCCTATTCTTTAGAATATAGTTACCACTGAGTTTTTAAAATGACAAAAAGAAAAGTAACTGAAAATATGAATCTTAGAAAGTAAGGGAAAAAAATTCTAAGGAAATCATCGCCAAACTTAATCATGTCTCAACTAACTTTAGATTTATGACTCCCAGTTTCTAAATTGCAATGTCTTCAATTTTCTCCAAAACCTAAGAGTCAAACCAAAGAGTGAATAGCTAGGTTTTAAAACACCTGATTTCATATACCATTGGAAAATTTTATTTCTTTAAACTGGCAGTAAAGACTTACATTTCATATTTATAATTCAAAGAAAGAATCTTAACACACATGCTCAGTAGAAGACTACAGTTTTTACAAATAGATGTGAAACTAAAGCAAGTATGATAAGGGTAAAAACAGATGCTCAACACCACTAGTCATTAGAGAACTGCAAATCCAAACTACAATGAGATACCCCGATAATCCATTAAGACAGCTACCATGAGAAAAACAGAAAATCACAAGTGTTGAGGATGTAGAGAAACTGGAATCCCTATGTACCATTGATAGGAATAAAAAATGGTGGGGCTGGGGTTTTGGCTCAGTGGTAGAGCACTCGCCTAGCACGTGCAAGGCCCTGGATTCGATCCTCAGCACCACATATAAATAAATGAAATAAAGGTAGTGTGTCCAACTAAAAAAATAAACAAACATTTTTTTTTTTTTTAAAGAGAGAGAGAAAGAGAGATAATTTTTTTTAATATTTATTTTTCAGTTTTCGGTGGACACAACATCTTTATTTTATTTTTATGTGGTGCTGAGGATCGAACCCAGCGCCCTGCGCATGCCAGGCAAGCGCGTTACTGCTTGAGCCACATCCCCTATAAACAAACATTTTTTTAAAATGGTATAACTAATGTGGAAAATAATATGCAATTTCTTTAAAAATTAAAAATAAAATTACAAAAAAATTACATATGATCTAGAAATTCTACTTCTGGGTATACCCAAAAGATCTGAAAGCACGGTCCTCAAAAGAAATACCTGTACAACCATGCCCAGAGCAGCATTATTCACAACACCTAAAGTAATGCAGCAACCCAAATGCCCATCAATAGATGAATGGATAAACAAAATGTGGTATATGCACACAACAGAATACTATTCAGCCTTAAAAATGAATGAAATCTGACAGATGCGGCACCCAGATGAACCCTGAAGACACTGTGCTAAGAAATAAGACTGAAATAAGCCTAGAGAGACAAGTACCATTGTACTTACATGAGGCACTTAGAATAGTCAAAAATCATAGAGACAGAAAGTAGAATGGTGGTTTCTGGGGGCTTGAAGAAGAGGAGAATGGGGAGCTATTGTTTAATGGGCACAGAATTTCAGTTTTACAAGACAAAACAGGTTGCAGAGATGGATGGTAGTGATGGTTGCACAACATTATGAATGTATTTAATACAAATGAACTGCACACTTAAAAGTGGTTAAGAGTAAATTTTATGTTTCATGTATTTTGCCACAATTTAAAAAACTGGTGGGGGAAAACAGGTAAACAAATTTGTAAGGATGTCAGAAATCCTGGACCAATTCTTATAAATAAAGCAAATATTATATCATGTATAAATGTCACCTCAGATGTTATAAAGAATAAATGTAACACTAACCAATACTCTTGAGGACTATAGGCATACTTCATTTCAAAGGCTTATGAGAGTTTAAGGAACCAGAACCTTTTGACAGAATACCTGAATAAATGAAGCGCAGAATGTCTGATAAACAAGAACAGAAGAGGGCGTCTTTAACAATGACTCGCAATGGTGGGTTGCCAGAAGATTCCTGGCTAGCACCTGGAAAAGCAGTATCTCTGTTTATAGCAAAGAGATCCTGGGTAGTTCGGATGATACTGGAATCTTGAATTTCGGTGGGACTCTTCACATTGAAAAGCAGCATGAAAACATGGCTTACTGCACAGAGAACAATCTTGTGGGCCTCTATGACCTCCTTTAAATCTGGGTGATAAAACACCACGTCCACACATTGGCAGCAGAACAGTAAGTTATTTAAGTCAGAGTTATAATGCGATGCTTCAGCCTTTAAAACAGGCATTTTTTCTGTTTCAAAAAAGAAAATAAGAATAATAAGCTACATTTTTAAGTCTACAGATCCAATAATTTCAGGTTTACTTTAAATGCAGTACAATATTTTAAAATAATAATCAGGTCAAACCGTAAGAAAGGGCCAACATTTGATTATTTTTCACCATCATCATAAAAATATGAAATGAATTTTACAGGAGAATTGTACAACACAGACACACATACATTTACATTTTAACATGCAAATGAAAAATATACTGATGACAAAAGGAGCAATAAAGCAACACTTATTGTAAGTCCCAAAATAAAACATCCTCCCAAATACTGAATGTCAGTATTTTGGTAGTTATCATTCTTTACTTTTTTTTTTTTTTTTGAACATTTATTTATTTTTTAGTTGTAGTTGCACACAATACCTTTTTTTATATGTGATGCTGAGGATCAAACCCTGGGTCTCACACATGCTAGGCGAGTGCTCTACCACTCGAGCCACAACTCCAGCCCCTCATTCTTTACTTTTATGTGTTGTTTTTTTTTTTTTTAAAAAAACTAAAACAAAGTTCTAAGTTCTGAAGAACCCAAGCACACATCTGGTCCTTTTCCTCCCAGAACCAGGAGTGGGGGTCAAGGGAAACCTGTGAAAATTCTGCAACTCTCAGTGTCAGGGTTCAGAATCCTGGACTCTACTGTTTGAAACCATCTTGACCATCTTATTTTGAGCCTCATCTTTTTTCCTCCTACTAAAGCAACAGGCTTCCCAGAACAACTCTTTACTCAGCATACCTTAGCAAAAGTGCCAACTAAACACTCTAGTTTCCAAAAGAGGATATAACCTTCCACTTACTAGTTCGATTACCAACAAAGTAAGACTAGCCCTCTATGGGCTCAAAATATCCATGCTCCCCATGCCCTATCACAGACCCTACTATAAAATGTCTGCCATCTCCCTTTTATCCACAGCCAAGCTGAGGAAAGGAATCTTTGTGTAGTGTTGATGGAAGGATATGAGCTCTTCTGAACCTGTGGAATTCAAATTCTTTAGCAATGAAAATCCTTCAAAGCAAAGCCCAGTTCATAAAGTAGATGACAAGGCACTTTGGGGGGTGAGGCTTGCCCTACACTGTACCCCATTCCACCCTCTTTGCCACTGCCTGTGGCACCTTCACAGTACCTTAAATGCTGAGATATGTCTGAAAGCCACATGCTCCAGAGCCCAGGATTGGTCCTTAGAAAATATCACCTACAGAGTCATACCCTGACTGTAGGGATAGCCCGTTGGTTATGATTAGAGCTATGCCCACAGCTCTCTTAACTACAGGGTACAGGAAGCAGCCCTATGAAAGTGGAGACTGCATTTGTTGAAGGGATGCTTTTGAAGACCCTGTCTATTATACCACCTAGTACACCCAAATGAAGATGCACACAAGGAGTTTCTTTTAGTGCTAAAGGATGTGGGATGTTTTGCTTTCTCAGAGAAACTGGTATGTTTTCTGGATCAATAAGAACTAATAACTTGCTAGCTACATTATCTATTTGGCCTTTACACCCCTCCCCCATCTTCCAATTCAGAAAGTATTTAAGAACCCAGGGTTTGTCATATAACAGACCAGGTCTCCCCTTACACTGAGCAAACCAGAAAGTTCAAAGTCAAAAGTGTATATTTTATGGTCTATTTATATGAATTTTTTATAACTGAAAATGTTCTTCCATTCTAGTTTTTATTTTTCTGGTTTTTTTTTTGTTTTTTTTTTTTTAATTTAAATTCATTCATTCAACAAATATTTATCAAATGCCTACTTTAAAAATTTTTTTAACTGGGCTGGGGTTGTAGCTCAGTGGTAGAGTGCTTGCCTTGAATGTGTGAGGCACTGGGTTCAACTCTCAGCACCATATATAAATAAAACAAGGTCCATCAACAACTAAAATAAATAATTTTAAAAAAAAATTTTTAACTGACACATAATAATTCCACATATGCATGGGGTACAGTGTGATCATCAAACACATGCATACAATGTGTGATGATCAAATCAAGTCAGAGTTATAATGCGATTTTCATCTCCTTATTTCTTTATATTTGGGAATCTTAATTCCTCTCTTTAAGTTATTCTTAAATATATAATTACATTGTAAACTATAATCACCATCTGTGCTATCAAGTGCCTGCTCTTTAAAACAATATCAAAAACAAATTGACCCAAGAGTACTTGTCTACTTCACAGAATTATGTAAAAGTTCTGATCATAATTAATGCAATTTTATTTATTTTTACCTCTATTTCCTCCAACTTTTTATTAAGAACATTTTCAAACATTTAAAAAGTTGAAAGAATGATATAGTGAACAAACATATATCCTCCACCTAGGTCTTGCAATTACTAACCTCATTATTTTTGCCTAATCTCTAGATAGATGAACACATAGACACACATGGCTGAACCATGTAAGAGTAAGTTGCAGTCACTAGGACAGTTTGGCTCTAACATACTTTTACATTCACCTTCCAAAAATAAGAACATTCTTTTATTAATCACAACACCATTAACATAGACAAGAAAATTAACAATTTATAATATCGTCTAATTTCCAGGCCACTATAAAATTTCTCCCAAATGTCCAAAGTACATCTTTTAGATTTTTTTAAATTGAGATAGTATTCACTCAAGATTCATGCACAGCGCTGAAAGTTATTTCACATAAGTCTTTAATCTAGAATAGCTCCCCTCTAACACATGCTATTTTTAAGAATGTACAGGCTCAGATTCTAAAACGGTATTCTCAAACTGTGATTTAAGTACCACATGCTTAAGTATCACCTGAGAAGTTTTTGGCCTTGTTCTAAGTTCACTGAATTAGAATGTTGGGTAGGCCTTTGGGATGCTCAAATTTGAGAACAACAGCTCTAAGACCTGTGAGGAATGATTTGTAATAAATGTCTACCAAAGTCTACGCACCTGGTTGTTCAAGCTGGGGTGGTCTAATTCCATGAAATGAGCTGTTCATTTTTCTTTTCTTCATTTTTTCACTTGTCTTCTGATTTAAGGCTTGAATCATGAAATATTCCAACTAAAATATATAAAAAGAAATCTAAATTAAAGGTCCAAAAATTATATCTGACATAATTATTTGTACCCCAAATCATATTTGCCAAATGTTCTTAATGTCAGTGCATTAGCAAACACTTGTAAACAGTTTATTTTATCTGTAAAAATGTGTCTAGAAGAACAGATTGTGCCCTGATTAAACATAAGAAAACTTATTTATTCAAGAAGAAATTGTATCTTGAATGATCAAGAAGCCAGGCACTAACTATGGGGCTTTCAATAATTTTCTCAGAGGGCAAGTTTTGCAGCTAAAACTAGTGAGAGTCAAGGCAAGAACAGATCTGGCTCTATGTCTACAGATGTTCAAATCAGCTAGGAAACTTTACTTTTTTCTCTTAAACAAAATTCTTTGAAACCTGTCCTTTATTTTACAAGTTGAAAAATCTCATCCACATGCACTTATATAATCCCGGGCCTGTGATCTACCTTATAAGGCCTAGGGCAAAAGCTCAAATGGATGTCCACTCATATAGCAAAATATTTCAATGCTATAAAATCAAGAAAACAAACTGTTATATAAATATATATATTTGACAAATACATCATTATAAAGGCCTGGCCAGCTAGATGCAGATTTAAATTCTCAGACTCCTCAATAGTTCATGAAGTATAGGAAACTAGCCCCTAAATCCTGAGCTCTAAGACAACCTCTCTCTTCTCACCCCAGCTCCATCCCATGTCTTGAGGAGTTTTATGCACACAAGTAGACATTGGGACTCTATCCATTCTTCCCTCCCCAACCCTCAGGAAGTCATCCCTCAGTTACTCTCCCACCACCAGGCCTAAAGGTACACAAATCAGTAATGCAGTCCACTTAAGAACAGACCCACGAAAAAGAGGCTTGCACAGGACCAGGAAACAGGCTCTGGGTTAGCAGGCACAGAATTCAGGAGTCCTAGGTTTGGAAGCACAGTCATAACACTGACTAAAACTTTCTGTGCTGGTGGAAATGTTCTTTACTATCTTTATAATCCAATACAGCAGTTCTGTCTACATGTTGCTATAGAACACCTGAAACGAAACTAGAATGCCTGAGGAAATGAATTCCATTTTGTTTTATTTCACTTAATTTCAGTACAAGTAGACACACATGGAGCTATTATATAGATGGTGCAGGTATGGAAGGGAGATGGTACCAGCTCCAGGTGGCACGTCCTGTTGGCTCCACCAATGTGTGGTTTCAGCAGGGGTGGGGGGGTGGGGGGTGCAACAGGACAAAAGACAGATGCCCCTGTTGCCCAGGTTTGAAAGGAGTACTACACAGCTCTTTATCCCATCCCTGACTTAAACACAGGATTTTTAAAAAATATTTTTTTAGTTGTAGATGGATACAATATCTTTATTTATTTTTATGTGGTGCTGAGGATTAGACCCAGTGCCTCATACGTGCAAGGAACATGCTCTACCCCTGAACCACAACCCTAGTCCCTTAAACATAGGATTTCAAATGCCCCTTTCATTCCATCATCTCCTTCTTATAAATGCCATTATTTCTTACACTCAAGATCTCAGTTGCACAATACTATCCACAAATTTAAAAAGAAATCATTCTGTTCTTATTTAATACTCTTATCAAGTCTTCAGTTTAAAAGAAACCACTATATCTTTCTAGCAACCTTGGCCAATATTCAGTCCTTCTTTGACCCTCACTGCAACATTAGGTATGAGGGAGAGAGAGAAGCAAAGAGGAGAAGGAAGAGAAACAGAAAAGAAATAGTGGAGTCAGGAGAAGAGTGATCTTGAGTATTCTAGGCCCATGGGAAGGCAGGAGATCTGCAGCTTCCCACAGAACCAGCCTCCTCCTCCACCAATGAAACCAAATCCAGCCAAGGGAACCTCCAACAAATGAAACAAAACCATCTTCCCCACCCCCACAGTTCCCTGGTATTTATTCCACAGACATACAAAATTCTTTGACCAAATTAATACTTTTTTGGGAGAGGGTGCAGGGTGGGCGGGGTGGGGGTTTACTGGGGATTGAATCCAGGGGCACTCAAACACTGAGCCATATCCCCAGCCGTATTTTGAGTTGTTTAGCACCTTATTTTTGCTGAGGCTGACTTTGAACTTGAGCTCCTCCTGCCTCAGCTTCCCAAGCCACTGGGATTACAGGCATGCACCACCGCGCCCGGCTAATCATGCTTTTAAAACTAAAACTCTAATTGATGTTCCAGAAAATAGCTAAAAAGATAGCCTGACAAATAACTTCATATATAATGGGAATTTCCACTTACCACTCCTCCAAAATACTTCCCTATGTAGAAGTCATCAAGGCTATGTAGTTCAAGATAGGTAGCTCCCAGCTCTTTAGCAAGGTGGATCCCTTCTGTTGTACTGACACAACTCCCTCTGTCTGAAGTGCACAGTGGGCAGGTGCAAGGCAATTCTTCTGGAAAAAAAAAAAAATAATGAATTTGACAACAAAAAACTTTGAAAGTACACAGGGGGAAAAAAAGTACACGGAAAATCTGATCATTACACAATATACCAGAACCACTATCCACTAGACTCCAATTAAAATGTGTCAAGGATATTCATAAATAAATAAGCATTAGCTGCAAAAAGAATAAGTAGCATTTTAGAAAATAGAATTTTAAAAATAGGTGAATGGATATTACCAAAGCTAGTATAGTAATTAGACTAACCAGCAGTAATGGCAGACTTGTTGCTTGTTCAACCTTGACATTCAGAACATCAATATTTCTAGGACAGTAGGAAAAAATCCAAAATTTACAAGGAGACTGCCCACAGAAATCATGAAAAGCAATGTGTTGGACTTCTTTCTTTCTAATAAACTTGAAATATAAATATAGTCACCAAATTTGAATAAACCTTATACTTTTATTTGATGTAATTTTTAAAGCTGCAACTTGTTACTATCTTTGTGAATTCCACATAAAGTATATTTTGGTGGGGAAGGGGATACTGGGGGTTGAACTCAGAGACACTTGAACATGAGCCACATCCCCAGCCCTATTTTGTATTTTATTTAGAGACAGGGTCTCACTGAGTTACTCAGTGCCTTGCTTTTGCTGGAGGCTGGCTTCAAACTTGAGAACCTCCTGCCTCAGTCTCCTGAGCTGCTGTGCCACTGCACCCAGCTTGAAGTACATTTTATTCAAATATTTCATTTCAATCATTTGGTTCTAAAGTAGTCAACTTTGGAGACCAAATTCAACCACTTTTTATCTTTTTCTTTAAGATTTAAAAATTAAAAGCTGAAGAAATCTTTCAAATGTAAAAAAAAGAAAAAAAGAATTGTCCCAATATTCACAGTTGTAGCGAATACAGATTTATGGCTTGGAAAGTACAGAGCAATCTATTTATAAGAACATTCCCTACTAAGGCTAAAAATATATATTCAACTCCATATTCATCAGCTTGTATTGTTTTGTTTCAGGACTAAAATATGGGTCACTGTTCAAAAGTTAGTCAGGTCTAAAGAATGAAAAGTCATTTGTAGAAATGCCTGTTGTTGCAGGTTGGCCTTTCTGGGAAAAAGGCTGTAAGATGGAGATGGGTGTGCAGGAGGTCAACTGGGAGGTGATCTGGGGAACAACTATTCTCAGGAGTGAGGGATGTGGATTTGGGTAGAGGAAAAACTTGGAATAACGATGCAGTAGCACCAGAGACCAAGCTATCCTGCAGGGGCTCTGGAGCTTTGCTGGCCTGTCAGAGTACTCCATATATGAGGAAAGACAGCTGGGCCTTTGCATCCTATTCCCTAAATCAGTCAGAAGATAAGTGTCACATCCCTGGAGCAGGCACAGCCTTGGGCAAGGGAGCTCCCATTGGTGAAGAATAAAATTGCCATTACTTGTTCTACCCTCTAAATAAGAATGATATCAAAAAAGGAAAAAAAAAAAAAAAAAACTAAGTTTAACTAAAGAATTAGTGATTCCAAAGACTAAGTAATTTAAAAATTAAGCTTGTTTTCTTCATTTATGTGATATATTCTAATCTGAAGGATATGCTTCACTTTTTCTAAGATCATTTTAGGTTTGGAGCAAAGTTATCAAGCAGAATTTAGTCTCTTCTGAAAAATAATGAATTGATATTTCACATTCTTTATGAAGCCTTTCTAAACAGTGCCTTTGGTTTTCTGAAGACAGAGGCCTTGTTGTGCCTACAAAGGTCTCCTTATGTTGATGGAATGTGGTGGGTAGGCAGATCATTTCATTAAACTTTATTTCTGGACAAAAATCAAACCAAGCTAGTAGTGTTTCCAGGGGAAAAAAATGAAGTTAATTTAATATGAATTAAGTTTTAACAAACAATCTTGATTTAAGGGGAAAACACAGCTAATTTTAGGTTTGAGCTAGCTGTGTATAGCTATAAGCATCTTTCTGACACACTCTCTGAGAAAGCTTGTCCGATTATAGCTAATCCTATCTCCTCTGTCACTGAAGATATTTCTTTTTGTTCACTCGCAAAAAGAAAAATGCCTAGTCACTACACTCCATATTATGCTGTAACAAGTTGCCACTTAGTCATCTAAAATTCTAAAATATCATTCCCATTTTTTTAATATTTATTTTTTTAGTTGTAGTTGGACATAATACCTTAATTTTATTTATTTATTTTTATGTGGTGCTGAGGATTGAACCCAGGGCCTCGCATGTGCTAGGTGAGTGCTCTACCACTGAGCCACGACCCCAGCCCAAATATCATTCCCATTTTATTCATTTGTTTTTGCAGTGCTGGAGACTGAACCCAGGGCCATGAATATAGGCAAGAGCTCCATCACTGTTATATTCTCCAGTATAAAACCCAGAGTTTTATTTCTTAAAACCTTCATAAGTTTTTTTTCTCCAATTAACTATTTTGTGATTCACTTCTGAATTTCTCTGACATTTTTCCATATCAATCACCTATGGGATTTTAAGTAAAAGTCAGATTTGGGTTGGTTAGAGAATGGAGAACCAACAAGATATTTCAGGATTAAATAACTTTACCTTAAGCATTTTATTAGAAACAATTAGAGGACCCAAAATAATTTTAAATTGTGGATTCTTGCAGTAATAGTGGCTCTGGGAATCAGTCCTATGCTTCTTGTTAACTTTGTAGGGTTTTTTGTTGTTCTTGTTGCTGTTACATGTTATCTTATAAGATGTTACAAAGATATTTTTCAAAGGCAAATACAATGTAACTCTAGCATTCAAATGAATGGTATCTCTTTCAAAGTAGTGTGGCTTTGGGAATCTATAGGGTGATTGTTACAATGTTGCCACTGCCTGAAAGTTTTAGAAATTCTTTTTCAAAAATTCTAGCTCAGCAATGTATCAGACTGGGTCAGGGTTTCAAAAATAATAGAGACAGTGTTCCCATGTTCAGAAGTTTGAGGCTATGAAGACAATCAGGTATACTCTGATTAAAAAAATAAAGACATTATCCTTTAAACATAGGTTTAATATTTAGTAAAAGCCAAAATGTATTCAGAGCCAAATATCATGAAGACATCCACATAGTCAAGCTTGTCAAATACATATGTAACAAAAGAAAGACTAGTTATATTCACTGAACAAGTTCTTTAAGAGTTTCCAAGAAAATTAACAGGAGAGGGGCTGGGGATGTGGCTCAAGCGGTAGCGCGCTCGCCTGGCATGCGTGCGGCCCGGGTTCGATCCTCAGCACCACATACAAACAAAGATGTTGTGTCCGCTGAGAACTAAAAAATAAATATTAAAATTCTCTCCCTCTCTCTTTAAAAAAAAAAAAAAAGAAGAAGAAAGAAAGAAAATTAACAGGAGAGTACCCAGCAGTTGCATATACTGAAAGGGATGGGTAAGGGGATGGCAATAAAGGTCCCTGAGCTGAAGAGCCATATTAGCTCTGCAGTTATTTTGTAATCACATCTTATACGGTAAATTAGCTCTATCTTGTTAGTGAAATTGATTTTTTTCACTTAGATTATTCATAAAGCCATCCATTCACTCATTGAACAAATGTTTATTGCATGCCTACCACACATCAAGCGTTACTGATAAAAAGATAGGAAGATAAAAGCATAGTCAACTGAACCAAGATAGACATGACTGCAAACAAATACAACATTAATAAGTACTAAAATGAAGGCATACAAAGTTACCATGGGAACAGACCCGAGGAAATTAACTGCCTGGGGAGATTGGGGAAGGCTTCACAGAAAGATAATGATTGAAAGGATGAGTATGAAATTGCAAAGCAGATATGAGAGGTCTGTGTGAAGGGGCACTCCAGTCACAGGGTACAGCATATGTAGAGGTCTGCATGTGAGAAAAGGAAAACGTATTCATTTCCAGATTCAAGATGACAAGCTAAGCCCACATTGTGATCTCTCCTCCTGCCAAACTATGGAAATATTAAATAAAGCGGGTGGGGGTGGGGAAGCAAGGAGAAATGAAGAAAAGAGAAAAGAAAGAGGGAGGGAGAGACATATGGAGAGAATGTTTGAATATACAGCAACTAAAAAATTAGAGGGGAAATATCAGCTCAAAACACTAGGAGTGCCTTCCAGAATGAAGGCAGATGGCACAGGAATGAAGCAGAGTGCATTGTGGGGGTCCTAGACGCTGCACCAAGCTGGAATGCTCACTGCTAACAATGGGGGAGGCAAGAACCAGAAGGCCCAAAGGCAACTCACTGGAAACTAACAAAGTACATACACCAAGAGAAGCAAATAGGCCTAGTGATTCTTGACCTACTCACTTCTGTCCCAATCCCCAGACAGCTATTGAGGAGGGAAAAAGGAAGGCATCAATCCAACAGGGAAAGTACATTTTAAAAGTAGGAAAGTAAAGAATTAATTTTTGAGAAACATCCACATCATGAAACAAAATCTCAGCAGATGGAAAGACTTGGGGTGCATATTCAAAACTAGACAATATTCTAATCAAAACAGAACTACTAAGTATAATTAACTATTCTAAGATTTTTAAATAAAGTTTTGCAACCTTAAGACAGGAACAAGAAATTATGAAAGACCCAATTAGAGATCTTGGAAATGAAAAGTTGTTGAAGTTAAGAATTTAATCAAGCAGAATAGCAAAACAGACCCAGCAGACTAATGCATGGGGGAGGGGGGGAGCCAAGAAAAAAAAATGCAACACAACAAAGTAAAGGAATCAGAAAGATAACCGCAGCCAAGACACAGAAGCATCACCAACAGCCTGAGAAGGATCCTGAAAGAAACAGAATAAAGATCATGGAGACCCAGTGACACCCAAAGAAATGAGAAAGTCAATACTTTCCCAGACCTGAAGAAAAGCATTAAGTTCTTCAGGCAGTTCAGTGGGAATGGCACATAAGGCAAAGAGGATTGTTCCTAATGGTTCTAGAAGTAGTTGGAAGTTTGATCATGAACAATCTTGGATCTCAGGTAAGATTTTACAATAGAAAGTCATCAACATGAGATACAAATACTGGACAGAAATAAGGATTATCAATGGGAACCTGGGATTTAAAAATATAAGTATGAAAACCTACAATAAATATTGGCAAGGATGTGGGGATAAAGATGCATACATTGCTGGTGGGACTGCAAATTGGTGCAACTACTCTGGAAACAGATGGAGATACCATTTAACCCACTTATCCCACTCCTTGGCATATACCCAAAAGACTTAAAATCAGCATACTATAGTAACACAGCACATTAATGTTTAAAGCAGCTCAATTCACAATAGCTAAGCTATGGAATCAACCTAGATGCCCTTCAACAGATGAATGGATAAAGAAAATGTGGTACATATACACAATGGAATATTACTCAGCTATGAGAAGAATGAAATTATGGCATTTGCCAGTAAATGGATGCAACTGAAAACTATCATGCTGAGTGAAATAAACCAATCCCCCAAAACCAAAGGCTGAATGTTCTCTCTGATATGCAGAGTCTGAATCATAGTAGCACAATGGGGAGCGGTGCCACAGAATTGGACAGGGTGGAGTAGGGGAAGGGGGGGTTGATGGGAATGGGAAAGTCAGAAGAATGAATACGACATAACTTTCCTATGTTCATATGTGAATATGAATTAACTGAAAAGAACAAAAAATATATGTTTGAATATATATATATATATATATATATATATATATATCAATCCCTGGCTCTGACCAATGTGCAAGGATTAGAAGCAAAGACACTGAAGTCATGGGTACCCTAGAGCCTGAATTGTGATTTCTAAATATCATTACCTAACAAGAGGATGCAGGGCTCCTTGAGAACACCTATTTCCAGGGCAGGGACAGCAAAAGTCTAAGGGAATAGGAAGTGATTCAAAACTGATGAGAGACAGCCAGAAAACCCCCTCTAGACAAACATAGGGTAAAGTAAAAATCAGAAGAATAATCATAACAACAGACTATGAAATGTTGAATTGAAAGAACAAATTCATGAATCATAATGATTCCAAAAGAAAGGTATAGGAGCAGAGAGAATAGAAAGCTCTATTTACAAAAGAATACCAATAAATAAATGTAGAATGTACCATAGAAAATTATAATTTCTAAGCACATGTATGACAACTGAAAGAATAAGGCAAAAATGCTGATCCAGCCCAAATTCTTTAATAATGTCAATGTCATGAAAGACATGCCCCCTCAAAACAAACAAAAATACTATATATATATATATATATATATATATATATATATATATCCCCCAAATTATGGGGAATCATCTGGATTAAAAGAGACCAGAGAGACATGACCAATAAATGCAATGCATAATTTATACTCTGGATTGGAAAAAAAAAAAACCACACACACACACACACACAACTATAAAGCACATTACTGGAACAACTGAAAAAGTGTAAATACAAATTATATTTTAAATAACAGCATAATAGATAACAGCATGTTAAACTTCTTGCATGGTGATTGCATTATGGCTAATAGGAGAAGGGCCTTGTTCTTAGATATAAATGCTGAAGTAATTAGGAGTGAAGAAATCACATGTTTACAATTCAGTCTCAAATGGCTCAGAAAAAAATGTGTGCATGTGCATGTGTGTTTATAAATTCTGGAGTTCAGTGTCCTAGTCCTGTCAACCTTCTTAGGTTTGAAATTTTACAAAATACAAGTTAATGAAGAAGGAAGTTCCTAAACAATTCAAAGCATTGAATGTCATGATCTGACTTGTATTCTAGCATAATTATTCTGAAAGAAATTATTTCAGAGGCAAACCAAGAATAGGAGGTCAGAGGCCAATTTATCATGAGACTGATAAAGTTTTAACAGAAAGCCTTCTTTTTGTGCTTCCTTTCCAAAGCCCTGGGAGGAACCTGAATAACATATTCTTTCACATGTTGGTCATATGCTTTTGTCAAATTTGAAAAATAAGATATTTTAACTATGTTTGGCTAAGACCACTGTCTTTTTCTATTCTAATTCAATTTATCTTGTATGAGGCAGTTCTGAAGTAATCATGGGCATTTTGGGGATGCTACTAAGGGGAAATTTAGCTTTAGGTTCAGTGTGCTATTACTTTTGGTTATCCCACTCCTTGGCATATACCCCAAAGACTTAAAATCAGCATACTATAGTGACACAGCCACATTAATGTTTATAGCAGCTCAATTCACAATAGCTAAGCTATGGAACCAACCTAGATGCCCTTCAACAGATGAATGGATAAAGAAAATGTGGTACATATACACAATGGAATATTACTCAGCCATGAGAAGAATGAAATTATGGCATTTGCCAATAAATGGATGGAACTGGAAACTATCATGCTGAGTGAAATAAACTTCCTCAACAATGGGAATAAGCCCAGGGGTACTCTACCACTGAGCTACATCCCCAGCCCTTTTTCCTTTTTTATTTTCAGACAGGGTCTTTCTAAGTTGCCCAGGGAAGCCTTGAACTTGTGATCCTGCTCTCTCCTAAATAGCTGGGATTACAAGTGTGCATTATACTTTCCTATTCCATAACTGTCCTAGAATAGGAATGACTTTGAGGAATGCTTCTGACACCCACAGTGCTAACTTATTTGGCATCAGATACTAGAATGCTGAGCTGAAATATGTACACAATACAAACTGGTGCCTGGAGCCAGAAAGATGTACAGAATGAAGAAACATGCTATTAGAAAAACTGATTATCATTCTCCTCTCTCCACAGAAAATATCTCAAAAGTGATTCATATGAAGGGGTGATCAAAGACTTCACAGCCCCCCCAAAATGTAAGAAAATTTAAAGAAGTGTTGGGCTGTTAAATAGAAATATTTCTAAATGTGGTACTTGACAGACCCTTTGAGATTTGTGAGTTGTCATTCTTTCTTTTCTTATTCATTGTGGGGTTCCCTACCCCAGTCACAAAATTATGTAAGTCTGAGGTCCTATAAAATTGGAACTATCCTTTTAGGAGACAAAGAAGTCCCTATGAAAGATAACTAAATAGCAAGCATTTGAAATCCAACAGAGATAAAAAAAAAAAAAGAAAAAGAAAAAGAAAACAATGGGTTTATGAGTTGGAGTTATTTAAAATGTAAAATTAAAAAAAAAAAAAAGCTTCTTAATCAACTGGATGTAGGGGACAGGAGAGAAAGGGAGATCTAGGATGATTCTGGTTTTGGTTGAATGGAGAGATTTTGCATCATTCACCAAGACAAGGAACTCAGCACTAAGAGGATGCTGTCTATGAAATATGGGTCAGGAGAAAGACTAGAGGAAGAGAAACAGATTAGACAATCACTGTACATAGAAAGGAAGCCAGGGCAACTGACTGGCTAGTTCATGTTCTTGGTTAAAGAGCAAGAGGTGAAGCCAAAGTATGGAACCCTGGGAAACAATTCTACGACGTGTTGCTGCTCATGGAGAGGGGCCCAGGAGAGTGCAAGGGGACCAGTAAAAAAAAAAAAAACCGAGAATTAGAAGAAACAGAAAAGAAAGAGTAGCTTTATTAAGCAGAGGGATGTACAAATAATTTCAAAGATAGAATTGTTACTAACATATTAAATTTGGCAATAAAACTGGCAACCCCAGTGAGAACTTGGTGTGACTATGGAAGTCAAAATGAGACTGTAGTAGTCTGAAGAATGAAACGGAAGTGGACTCAGGAAGTGTGAATGGTTCTTTCAAGAACCATGGGGTAAGGAGGGGGAATAGGGAAGTAGGATGTGGGGTCAAGAGTGGGTCAAGCTTGCTTATTTGTATTTACTAATGCTCAACATTTACCTACCTTATGACCCGGCAATCCTACTCCTAGGAAACAAACTAAGTATCATCCAAAGGAGAATGGACACATAAATTATGGCATATCCATACAATAGAATAATGTAAAGCAATAAAAACAGCAAACTATAGATAAGCACAACATACCCTATAATTTCATTTGTATAAAGTTCAAGAATAAGTAAAAACTAGTCTCTGTAGTTAGAAGTCAGAATAGCAGTTTCCTCTGAGGAAAGGTGTTATTATCTAGGAAAGAGGCCTGAGGGAACCTTCTAAAGTACTACAGGTGTTCTGCCCCCTGATCTGTGCAATGGTTGTATAGACATACACACAGGGACAACTGCATTAAGCTACACTCTTAAGACTAATGAACTTTATATTATTTTCTTTGCTACACCTTAATTAAAAGGTTAAAAAATTTTAATAAATAAAAAGTAACAATTTAATAACAGCTTTACTGAGTAAATATTACTAAGAAGATATGTAAAATATCACCTAATCAAAGTGAATCTTGAGTTGGCCTTAAGAAAGATGACAATAATATACATAGCAGCAGTGCCTACAACTGCCCCCAACCAACCTAGTCCATTAGCCACAGAGTAAACTGCCTTTCCTTAGGCAGCAGTGTCAGTGTTTTCAGCTCACTCATTGTTATCCACCTAAAAATTCTGCTCCCACACTCACATCTTCAGGAGGGTAAGCCATTCTTTTCAATTGGATAAATCATTAGACTGTCAAAAAGAAAAAGAAAAAAACTTTCTAGGGCTCAATTTCAGGTTAGTACCTTTCATATGTCAAAAGAACACAACCACTGAATGCTTTATTACTGGGAAGAGCAAGTTAAAAGAGATTTGTACCCATCAGAATCACAGCAGAAGTTTTCAATCCTCTCCTTTGATGTGTTCTTATCATCAGATGATGAAGAGATAACAACTGGCATTTGAACCCACAGTCATTTGGGTAAAAATAAAAAAACTGTACTAATCATTAATAAACTTAACTCTATTCAAACTTAATGTGGTACCTGCAAGCTGATTATAAAAAAGAAAATTAAATACTTACCATTTTGTCTGGTACCAACAGCAGCAATGATTACTGGAACTGAATTTAATGCTCTTTTTATCACTGGAATATAATTGTCCTTTACTTCATGGAATGAAAACTTGTCATTAACGTTGTATTTGATCACAATGATGTCAGCACTCCCAATTAGGTTTCGAGAAGTGTACCAATCACTGTCAAAAATGTCCTAAACCAAAATGTAGACAGTAAACTTTAGTCTACTTATCTTCAAATCCATCATGAAATTAAATGTAAGATATTAGTTTAAATTTATTTGCTATACTTTAAGTTTTGGAATTTACATAAATTTATTTTTAAACACATAGCTATATAAAATTTAAAATGTTTAATTTTTTAAAAAAGTTTTCTTTGCATAAGATAAGTATTACTGGCTCAACATGATATCTAGATAATAATTAAGAGTTTGATGAAAGAAGCAACCCCTTTCAATATCCATGCTTTAAGAATAAGCACTTCTAAAAATAATACTGTTTCTAATCACCTAACATTCTGGAACGTTACATTTTTATTATAAATGAAAAAGCAACAACAGTGTGAGTAATGATGCTTCAAAGGACTTTCTGTGACCCAGTTTGTTTTGCTTGTATAAATTAAAAATTCAAAATAAGTCTTTCTAGTTCTGAAATTCTTACTTTTTGTATGCTAATGAATAATATTTATGTTTAGAATTGAGACCATAAGTAATTTATTATGGACCCTACACCTTAAAATTTAGTGCTCTGATATGTTAAAAACAATTTTTCAAAGTTTTTATACAAAGAGTAGTATGTGGAAAATATCTTTATGGATCTTACTTTTACTGCCAAATATATACCAATAACTTTCTTCTCATATTCTAATTAACCACTAATCATAATTCATCCTTACATTTGGCCTTTGGTATAGTCTTCTGGGATATAATACAGTCAGACTAAGGAAATAAGACACCTGGTTGACCAACTGTTTGGCTATGAAAGTTTGCAGTATGAGTTTGAAATATGAGTTCAAAACAGGGTTAACAGTATTTGAATCAATCAATTAAGATCTATGTGAAAGAACTTTTATTCTGTGATAGAAAAATTCTGGAGTGTTACACAGAGTTGCCCTTGTGCAGAGAGCTTCTGACCAGTGGCCCCCCTTACCTATACCCTGCCGACTGACCCATCTCTCACAAGGGCACTCCAAGTAATGAGAACTGCAGAATATCTAGACATGAATACCCCATTGAAAATGGAATAGAGCGAGCATTTTTGAAGGACGTTTAAATGAACCAAAAGAGAAAGAAAGAAAAAAGCGAAGAAAAAAGATGATCAATACTAAAGACAAAGGAATGAACTTGGTAGAGAGTATAATGGGGTGAGTTGTGGGGAGTGATGTGGGACACAGCCCAAGAAAATGTGAGCACTTCCCAGCAGAACACTTCACTAATTTCCAAATCCCAAACCACAAACCCCATACAATTCCAACTATATCTGTTAAACAGTATTCAAGTTCAAAGTACAAGTATACCAGAGTATGTAAGAATAACAAAAAAGGGTAAACTCATATAAATAGGATTCATAACTAAATATAAGTGGAACCAATATTAAGCATTCATCTAACTCAGAGAATCTGGGGGAGGGGCAGAGGAAGCATCTGCTTTCAACATTCCAAATAGGTCAAAATTCCAGAGCTACTAGAGAGGTATACAGGAAAAGGAGACATTTAAGGAAAATGTCATGGGGAAAAAAAAATGGGTTTGGGCATCATTAACTCTGTAGTATTGTTTATAAAGACCACAATACTTTCATTTGTTAATAGAAATCAGAACTTCAGATCCTGCACAAGAAAACTGTGAATGTATTAGCTCATTGCTTTTTATAAAATTTTTTTGGTAAACAGGAAAAGATGTAGAATTGTGAAATGAAGTAATAACGTAACTGCACAAAAAAAGGGAGTGGATGAGAGAAATACTAAATAATGAGCTGTTATTTGAAACACATTTATTTAAAAAGTGCCAAGTACATATGGCCAAGGAGACAGAACAAGGCTAAGGATTTACAGAAAGTAACTAGGGAATAGAAGCACAACCATCTGATCCCAACTCCAAGGAGCAACAACACATTTCTTCTCAAGCTATGTCAAAGAGAAAACACTCCACTGGTTTCTAGAATTATGAAGGAAATAAAGACTCTTCCATCTCTTGTAAATCAATTCCAGGATTTCCTCTAGGGGATTATGCAAGACTTGGAACCACATTTAGAGAATGGAACTCATCTTTTAAAATAATAATAATTTTTTTTAAAAATCTGAATTTCTATAATGAAACAAAAAATTTATTCTACTTGATTGTGGTAGTAGATAATATATTTGTGTGATAACTAATATCACTGTTCCAATCTGGTGTATTGGTTTAAATCTTGAAGGACATGAGGAAACTTTACCTTTGCTTAGCGTGATACATGACTATACTAGAGTTACAATAAACATTTTATTATTATAGCAGATACCACTTATGGAGCACAGTCTCTACACTTAGAACTTTACATTTACTATCTCATTTACTCCTTAGCATAGCTGTAGGAGGCAGAGATTATTATGATTAGTCTATAGTCAGGTAAGACTGAGAAAAGGTAAATGATTTACCAAAGACAGAAAGGCACTAAGTGGCAATGTGGGGTTCTGAAGTCAATTCCTCTTGATACCAAAACCTGTGTTCTATCTGCTCTGCTACATTTAACATTCTGATTCAGTACATATGTCAATAACACCTGATTAACACATTTACCTTTAACATCTCTGATGGGCTTTACTTAACACGTAGAGAAGAAAAGCACCTTAGAATGAGAAACTCTGCAAATGTAATCTACTATGTTTGAAGATCCACTATAACCTAGAAAATTACACCTAGTTACAAACTTGGTTCCACCAGAGTCTTAACTAAATGAAGTGATTAGCATAATAAACCATAATAATCAGTATATGACAAGAATCCAGACTACAGAGGCTTACTTTATCCATTTGGAAGATTTCATTCTCTACACTCAATACATGGGATCACAAGCATTGTTTGCTAAATTAACATAAACAGGAAAGGGTTAACAGCTCAAATTAAAAACAGAGAAAGTAATACTAACATCCTAATTCTGCTTATTTTGTTTTATGCACATTTATTTGTTCACTAAACATTTGTTCAACTGCACATTGATCCAATAAGTCTTAGAGGCTATATTAGATCTTTCATAATAAAAGGGCCAAAAGTAAAAGACATACTTCATTTGCTTGCAAAGACTCCACTGATGCTTCTTACGAACAGCAGCATCACTGTCATAGCTAGGGGCTCACTAGCATCCCACATATTGAAAAGCCTGTTGTAAATTTATTTCAGCACACTAACAAAACTTTCCTTTATCTGAATATTTATATGAGCAAGCAGTCTTTTCTTTCCATAATATGGAAATTTGCATAAAAATTTTTCTAAGTTCATTCTATACATTTCTTTAAAGGTATGCTAGTATAGTTTCATTAAAATTGCTGTTTAACTGTAAAATCTCACAGAGTAGTTTATATTCTGTGACACTAAAATATATATATGTGTGTGTGTGTGTGTGTGTGTATGTATATATTCTTAGACACTAAAGTTTCTTCTGAATAAAAGTTTCTTCTGTACTCTTTAGCTGAAATATATTTAACAATATTAGTAAAAAACAGACATTCTTGAATAAAACTAATTGAAAACATTTAAATATGTTATAGTGTACTGAAAATATTTATGTGTCAAGAAGTAGATTCCTTTGTCCTTTATGAAACATACAAGAATCAAGCTGAATTTTATCTATTTCACTACAACGTCATGTAATTATCACAATCATAAAGATTTTTTTTTAAATCCAAACATCATTAGTTACATTATTTCTACTTATGAGTCATTAAAATCAAAGAACTGCATAGAAAAAGTATTTGTATTATTAAAATTTTTAAAAACTTTCAGAGGTTATCAGTGCTATAAATGAGTCTTTAAAATTAATTCTCAGTCCCTGTCTTTCCCCACCTTTCCATACTATTTCTGAACTGTCCAGTGAAAAGTATTTTTGCCTACACTGAGCTATAAGAGGGCTGTATTTATAGAACACTAATATTACCCTATCCTCCACAGGGTAGGCATGAAAAAACATTGCTCTTTGCTAGTGGAACTTGGTGACCCTGTCCTTTGGGGCTGGCACATTCAACTGTCAGTTGTCTACCAAAGAACATCCCACAGTCGTGAAGTGTACGACTAAGTGCTCCACGCTCCACTTGGGCTTTTTACCTTATAGCCAAGTTCTTTGACTGGGCTGCCCCGTGCCCCACTAAACAAAGACTATAGATGTCCCCCAAAATGTTTTAAAACTCTACCCTTGTAAGGCAAACACTCCGTGTTCATGGAACTGGGAAAAGTAGGGAGAAGAAAATTTTAAAAAAAGCTCCTTCAGCTTCAGCACGGAGCAGCTGGTGTCCCTTACCCACACGGGACAGTCGTGAACCACGAGCTTGACGTTCCCAAACGCACTGGCCTGATACTCCGTGAACACTGGACGCGCGACCGTGCTGGTCGCGTTCAGCAACAAGCTGCTTTCGTCCCCTGAGACCAGAGGGCTTCTCCCCAGGTAAGTGCGGATGAGCCCCGACGGCCGATTGTCCTGGTGGAAAGCGTCGCCTTCGTTCCCCAGCGCCACGATGTGAATGGACCTGCACCGACAGAGAGGGGGACGAGGGGAAAAAAGCAGCACGGTCAGCGCGTCTGTCCCTTTCATCCGAACAGGAAGTGGCGGGGGCAGCGCGCAGTGAGGGTGGGCGCGAGCCCCAAGCCCCAGGGCGCACCGCACGCGTTCCGGCTACAGACAATGGCAGGACTTCGACGCGTACGTACATGATCTCAAATTCAAGGGCAGGGCGGCGATTCGGAGAAAACCAGCTCCTCACGGCCTCTCGGAGCCAGTCGGTGGCGTGTTTACCCGCAAGCCGCTCATCCCCAGCCGCGACCCCCTCGCGCGCCTCCACCACTGCGCGGCCGACGCTGAGCGGGGTCGCGTAAGCCAGTCAGCCAGCTAGCGAGCGAACCGGGGGCCCCAGGGCTGGGGGCGTGTGAGCGCAGCCGAGTGCACCGTGCCAGTCAGGAAGTGCTGGGGAACCTCGCCGGCGGCCGCCGCCGCAGTGAGTCGCGAGAGCGCGGGGCAGATCTGCAGCCCCGAGAGGATTCAGCTGACCGCAGCCCGTGCTCCGCCGCGCCTCCCTGGCGGGGCAGCTGTCGCCTCCCACTGCTGCTGCTGTTGCTGCTGTTGCTGCTGCTCCTCCTCCTCCTGGCAAAGAGGGGGTAGGAAAAAAAACGGGCCTCCGCCCCCTCGGCCGGCTGGGCCCAGCACGTGCCGGCCACGGGAGTCCGGTGGACGTGGGGGACGCGCTGCCCGCTGAGGCCCTGGACCCGGGCGGTGGCGGCCGGATACAAAGGAGCGGCCCGCGCGGGGCGCCGTGGAATATAAATTAATAAATACAACGCCTGAGTCGGAGAGCTCCCAGCCGCCAATCCGCCAGCAGCAAGTTTGCTCAACTCGAAAGGCTGTAACCAGAGCCAGGAAAGGGGGTGGGGCGAGGAGGCCCCCTCTCACTCCGGACTGGGGAAAAAAAAAAAAAAAAAAGAGGTTAGCGAAACTAGGGATTCCAACCAGGGGGCCCCCCCAGCTTTCCCCCCCCCCCCCCCCCCCCCCCCCCCCCCCCCCGCCCCACGCTTTGGCCTTGGCGGAAAGTGTTTTACCACGTCTGCCGCTTTGTCATTTGTCAACATGCGCTACAGCTGTTTTCTAAAATCATACTTGTGAGAACAAAAATAAAGGCAACATTCATGCTGCTGCTGCGAAAAAGGGTTCTTTGTTCGCACACCAATTAATTTGCAAATGTTGCTTTGGGGGATTATTTACTATTTCAAGCTATATTTGACATACTTTTGCCAACATGCAGATTTTAAATACTGGGATTTTTAGTGTAATATTTTTTGAAGGAAGTTTGTTAATTTACTTGGAGGTTTTTCAGTACATATTATGGCTACATATTTAATAATAGTTCACAAACCAACTGAAAAAATAAGCATCGCGTTAATGCAAGGATACTTTAGATTCTTTCACGATGACACACTGTAGTAAAGATGGTTCCTGTCCAGTCCCTAAAGGGCTTCAAACTTCTTCGGTGCAAATGAACACAGGGACTACTGCTAATACCAAGGGGACAGGGGTTACTCTGCAGCTTCTCCATAAATACTAAAATTCGCACAAATACTCTTGTGCTAAAAGAGTTCGTTGATCCTTTTATTTATATTTATTTTGCCCTATTTTAAAACTGGGCTGTTTCTTTTCTCACCAGAGCAATGTTTTGAGTGACGAATAAAAAGAAAAGGTCGGGGAGGCCTTTGGAATACCAACAGATTTTTATTATGGGCCCTTATTTCAGTTGAAAATAGTTTAATAGTTTCTTCTTACCTCTAAGTGGTCAAAGAGATTTTTTTTTAAATTAATTTCCCTTTGCACCTAAGTATAATTTCTTTTAATCTCTAGAACCTTAATCATCTTAAAAAGTTCAAGCATATACTGTCACCTTTTCTCTCCAGTAAATAAAAAATGTTTTCATCAATCCCCTCCAGTTACCGACAAGGTAAACAAAAAGACACTAGAATGGCCAGAGGATGTGGCCTATGTCTGTAATCTCAGTGACTCAAGGCTGAGGCAGGAGGATCACAAATTCAAGGCCAGCAAGACCCTGTCTCAGAGCACCACCAAATTCAATCGCCAGTACTGTTAAGGCTGTTTACCAGTGAGGAGTCCTTGCTTCCCCGATGCTGAAGTATAACACCAGAGAAGCATGCAGAGGCAAGTTTAGAGTGGAAAGTAAAAGCTTTATTAAAGGACAGCAGAAAAGACTTCTCCCTGGAAGAAGAAGGGGACCCAAGAGGTGGAATCCATGGAAGAGGGAGCTTTTCCCTTTTTTTTTTTTAATATTTATTTTTTAGTTTTCGGTGGACACAACATCTTTATTTTATTTTTATGTGGTACTGAGGATCAGACCCAGCGCCCAAGCAAGCGATACCCCTTGAGCCACATCCCCAGCCCCAGGTGTTCCCTTTTTTTATAGCTAAGGTTTACTTTCAGATTTCCTCCATTCCTGTCGCATGCATTTTTGTCCTTTGTTCTGTTTTCTTGCAGTGATGGAATGTAGGTGGGGAAGGTCCAAAGGGTGGGAGACAGGTGGGCCAGAAGGACTTCTGATTAGCATCTCAGTGTTTGCTGGGAGCTGCTTCATTAACATTTCCTTGGGAAGGGCTCTGGGCCTTGGGGACATTTTCAATTCCCCTTTTCCTGGACTCCATTCTCAATATGGCCTTCATTACTCGACATTAGACCCGATTTACCTAACTACACTCACTAACTACCTATCTTTAAATCTGTCTTCAGTACCACAAAGGAAAAAAAAAAAAAACAGAATGTGTAAATGGATAAGGAAAACAAGTATATAAATTAAATAAATAAATATATTAAATTTATAAATTTCTCCTTCCTTTTTTTTTTTTTTTTTAAGACACATTCTCACTTTGTTGTCCAAGCTACTCTCAGACTCCTGGGCTTAAGCTATCCTCCCTCCATGATAGCTGGGTCTACAAGTGCTGGCCAATTCATTGGCCTGGCTCAATGAATTGTTAATGAGCCTTTAAAAGTGAAGGCAATACTGTCATATCTTACAACATGGATAAATCTTGAAGACATTGTGCTAAGTGAAATAAGCAGTCATAAAAAGACAAACACTGAATCATTCCACTTACATGAAGTATTTAAAGTAGTCAAGCTCTCAGAAACAGAAAGTAAAACAGTGTTTACCAGGGCTGGGGGAGGGGCAAAAAGGGAGTTGTTCAGTGGGTGGAGATTTCCTTTTTTTTTTAAAGTTTTTATTTATTTTTTATCATAATTTGTTATATATAACAGAAGAATGATTTATAATTCATATTACACATGTAGAGCACAATTTATCATATCTCTGGTTGTATATGAAATATATTCCCACCATTCATGTCTTCATACATTTACTTAGGGTAATGATATCCATTTCATTCCACCACCTTTTTTTTACACCAATGCCCCTCCCTTCCCCTCCCACCTCTTTGCCCTATCTAGAGTTCATCTAATCCTCCCATGCTCCCCCTCCCAACCCCACCATGAATCACAGAGTTTCCCTTTTACAAAATGAAAAGTTATAGAAATCAGTTACATAACAAAGTGCATATTGTTAATACTACTATACCACTAAAACATAGTTAAAATGGTAAATTTTGTGGGTTTTTTGTTGTTTGTTTTTGTTTTCTTTACCACAATGAAAAACCTACAAGAACAAACAAAAAGACACAGATGGGTGATAACTAGGAAGTGGCAGGAGGGAGAAAGCATTAATTTTTCCTTCAGTTAGAGAGAGAGTATATATATATATATATATGTATATATATATATATATATATATGAGAGAGAGAGAGAGAGACCAGGCCTCTTCTGGTCTTCTGGGTAGGTATAGAAGATACTAAGATAGAACTCAGTCTTTGCCCTTAAAAAGCTAAGTCTATTAATGGTCACTAGATCATGAATATTAAGATACCCAATCTTTGGAAAATATGCTGTTTCCCTTAATAATTATGTTACAGGCTAATGCATTCAGTAATAGGGTATGTAGGAAGTACAAGAATAAATTTCAGTTACTGTAAAGAGATCTGTGCTGTTTGTGTCATCAGAGAGAAGTTCATAGGGGAAGTAAACATTATCTTGGGTCTTAAAAGATGAGGAAGAGTTTCTAGATTTGGAAGAGGTTGGAAGAGAATGAATATTAAAAAGAACTGGACAGCTGGGTACAGGGCTCATGCCTATAATCCCAACTACTTGAGAGGCAAAGGCAGGAGGATCCCAAATTCAAAGTCAGCCTCAAAATGAAATAAAAAGGGCTGCCAGTGTATCTCAGCAGTAAAGCACTTGCATAGCATGTGGGAGTCCCTGAGTTCAATACCCAGTACCACAAAAAGAAAAAGGACAAAAAAAGAAAAAAGAACTGGAGAGATATCTCATGCCAAATGCCAATCACATGCAAAGGTATTGGGTCTTACATGATCACAGTTTATTCACAGAACAACAAGAAGTGAAGTTAGTGCTTGCATGCACAGTTCTATTTTAAGGCAAGTAGAAAAAAGAGTAGCTTCCCAGGGTGTTTTCAAAGTCAAATCCCTTGATATATAGTTTGGGAATCCCTGATCTAGATTCTCTCCCATCCCGTATACATAACAAACCCTGGCTAGTTGCTCACCAAATCCATTTTCTCTTCCAAAATAGCTAACCTACATTTCCTAAACTTTTGGAATCATGGTAAGTTCTCAGTAATTGGATGTGATCCTACTACACAATTAAGAGAAGGTATTTCTTCTCTACTTTCTTATGTCCTTCTATCTCCCAACCAAATGGAGCTAGGTCAGCCTTGAATCATATTGGAGGACACTGGCACTGTAGTGTGGAACCAGTCCCTGAATGGCTTGTTACAGCAGAGCCTCCTCACAGCATGCGTTGCACTGTGACATTAGTAAGATTTAGATCTTTGTTAAGTTCTGTCAGACATTTTCAGGTCCATTTTTATAGGAGCTTGTGTTACTCGGCAGCTGATTGCATAGCACAGATGGTCCATTTCCTGAATCTTAAAGATACTTTTCATAATTATCTTGAGATCACTTTTTAAGAGTTATTTTCCTTTTATTTTAAATTTTGTTTGATTTATATTTTTGTAGTTTCCCTTATTAGCAGCATTTTTTAAATTATTATTTTTATTGAAACAAATTGTAACGAATTAGATTATCATGTCTTCAACCTCAAGGCCACTGGGGAACACACAGAAAAGGATTCTAGACCAAACAAGTTTCTCCCATTTTAGATGCTAAAATACCTCCACCATTTCATATTCATTCTGTTAGACCTCTTTATCCCAGAATAGATGCAGTGAATGGTACATGTGAGGTAACTAGTGAGTTATTACTGGTCCCCAGATTTTGAACATGAACATATCAGCCTTTGAAAGCATAACTGGTTCCTTAATGACTAGAGGAAGCAAGTGTTGGTGAGGGCAGCCCTAGAGAGGTAGACTTGGCACATTTTTTTTCTGTTTTTCAAGGAAACTAGGTTTTCACAGAGTAATCTTCAAGTCTTCCCTGAGAAGGGGGCAGAAAAAGGTAAGTAAGCAGAGGTCTAAACTCTTATGTCCTATCACATTAAAGTTGACAAGAGCAGTTTTATTGTCATTGTTTCCTTTAAAGATTACAGTTTCATGTTCATTTTTATTCAAAGAAGGGGTTTCTCGGGTTTAAAACAAACAAAATTTTATGACTGAGCAAGTGACTTTGAAGTGGGGTACAGAAGATGCCCACTGAAATTCCAAAATAAATATTCAGTTTCTATTCACAAATACTTATTTTTTTTTCCCAAAAAGAAAGAAAGAAAGTTTACTAATGTTTAATGTAGAATTGTCACTGACACCCTTCACTTGATTAGGACAAACCGCACAGTGGCAAGGGGGAGGTGGGCGGGGAGCGGACAGGGAGGGTGCTGTTCTGTGTGA